TTTAAGGGTTGGGAAACAAATTCCCTGCAGTTTCATTTTTTTTAATGTAATTTAAACCTTAACTTTCTTTTAAGGTCCCCCTTTTCATTTCTGAAAGGTAATGTCCAAAAAAAATTTTTTTTCTTTAAACTTCCCAAAAAAAAAACAAATTTTCTTCATACTTTTCCCCCCCCCCCCCCCCCCACACCCACACACACACACACACACACACGCACATATTTTTTCCACCCTAGGAGATTCCAAGTCTGTGTTGTTTGAGGAGTGGAATGTATTCAGATTGTCTGGTACCCATGTGTTATATGACCTGTTTTTTTACTATTATCACACAAGACCTCAGACAAGGACAAAATAACAATCTGCCACTACAGGCCTAAGGATAGAGACCGTCTAGACAGCTGTGAATATTAGCAATAATTACCTGCTGTACTGAGTGTACACTGGCTTTACATAAAAACAGAGCAATACATTATAATTTAATAATAGACATGTTTTTTTTTGTTTGTTTTTAGGTGTGACATGAAAAATTGTCTTTGACTCTATATGTGTATATACATGTACTAGATCTAAGTGTTTTTAAACTTGACTGGTAGGAAGTTGGTGCTGAAAATACAAAGAATTTCTGGAACATAAGAGATCATCCAAGGGAAACCTGTGATCAGATAGTGTATGGTGACCACATGTGAGAAATAAAACATGCTCTATCTCTGTCTGCACATTAAGACAGCTCTTCACCAACAAAGAACTAGAAAAAATATGACACTTTTACTCATGACTCATGCATGCACATGGCCACAACTTTCTCTTTCAATTATGTGCATCATTTATAATCTTTTTTTGATTAAGTATGAGCTAACTTGTAGACAACACTTTGGTCAAAAATAAAAGTAAGAGAATGTAACCTTATGGATATAATTTTTTAGTACTTTGGTATATAGCATGCATGAATAAATTATCCTTGTATGCTGGACCCATACACAAGGACAAGACCGGGAAAAATCTGCCTACAAAGTCCATTCACTAGCTGTTATTAGCCACATAAAGAAAAATGTCCTTTCACTTTGGTGACAGTTTCTGTTTAGGTATATCCACTTTTCTTGTCTGTCAGATGTCAACAGGGTAGCTGAACTTTTTTGACAGGATTAGATCCTATATTTTAGACAACTCCTAGCTACGTAAGTGTGACCCTGTGTGACTTTTGACTGCTTGATAACAACTTGCTGGAACAAACAACCACAACCTATATAATTATATTCTGAGCTTACTGAAGTCATAAAACATGTCACTATAAAATGCTAGGTGTACAGTCATGCTAATGTAATGAGAATAATGATAAGAGTCAGATCAGGACAGCCACAGTCCACAGAGAGTGCCCACTCTACGAGACCATTCCCAGAGCCTATCGAACTAACTTTGGATCGATCTATCTCCAAGGGGATTCTTGCTAAATTGCTATCAATTTAAGCAGCTTAGATGTCTCGAACGCCCAATGAAGCTGTAAGAGGGTTATTAACTATCGTTTAGCAGATTCAGCTGCTAGTAGACGTGCCAAACATTTAAGCCATTTAAGTTAAAAGCAATTAAAGTAGAAAACCCTTGGAGATGGATCGATCCAGTTAGATCCATCTAGGCATGGGAACCCAGTCTAAGTTTGCTTACATCACTACATGCATAAAAACAAACAACAACAGTTGAGTCATACTGTGATATATATTTTAAATGAAATATAGAGCGGATAAAATATACATTGACAACCAGCCATCAACTATGTACAGGACTGTAGGCAGGGGGTGGGAGGTCTACTCAGATTGCAAATTTTTTCTACTGGTAGGTTATATGTTATTTCTCATGTTGGATCAACTGCAGGGAAAAAAGACCCTTTTTTTCAGAAAAAAGTCCCACCACTACCACCCCACCCCTGGCTACAGGCTTATATCTACAATAATCCTGGACTGTCGTCTTGTTGAACACACACCCCTGTGTCCACTTTCATAATGCTATATATTGTGTAATACTTTCATTCTCTGGACTAATGTCATCTACAAGATAGTTTATCAAATCCATTCCTGTATAATTAAAACTTTCATGTAGGACCGAGAGGGAGAGGAGAGTGAAAATTCTTCTGAGTTGTTATAAAGAAAACCTGGAGAAAGAATGGTGGATTTATATACAGTAGATTGCAAGCCATATGCATTATGTGAACAGACAACTATGGCCTTTTAATAATTATCTATTGCATCACCATTCCCTCCCCCTTCCTTTCATCACTATCTACTCTGCTATCTCTCATTGTTACTCTATGTGCCTGCTGTGGTCAGAACCATATGACCATTGGCCAACATGGGTGGCTGAAATGTTTACTGAATGATATTTTAAACATTTACATCAATTTCAAACCACAACTCCCATCCTATCTTTTCTGCTGATGAAATGCAATCTAAATAAAGCTTCATAGATGTTTATCTACTGTGGAGATATGGCTCATCTCTAAAATTTTCTGTTCATGCAAATATTCCATTTCAATCAAGAGCTGTACATCTTAATCACACTGCATGGTGTTTGTATTCAATGTCAAATGTTCTGATGTGCTGTGACAAAACCATATAACAGTCACCACAAACATATCAGAAAGATATATGGTGTACATAAATGCACAGTATATAGCATCAAGCAGTTTTATTCACACCAAATAGTTTTTCACATTCCTTTCCTGAGGTTTCTTTTTGATCTATTTCTTTCATATTATCTATCTAAGGAAATAGTTCTATGAAGACGAGAGAGCGACACATGCCACTAAATCTGTCTTAGTAACCATGGAGACCAAGCTGGTTTATCTTGATACATACCTATTTATCATTTAAATGTGACCCAGGAATTGTTCATCGAAATATTGAAGTGACCATGCAGACCCGGTTACTAGCAATTTCAAAGGAGGGTTCCTTTTCTGAAAAACTTGACCTTTTACCATAACCACCCCCTTAGTTGATCCAGCATGAGGAATGGCACAGAACCTTGGTCAAATTTTGATTCAACCCAGACCCCTTTTCTGACCAAAAAGGCAGTTATTTTGAACCAACTTCCCCACCCCCTTCCCCTTTGCCTACGGGCCTATGATGGTACAATTACATTTTTGCAAAATGTCTTTTAAAATTTCTTTGTTCACAAAATCAAAGTTTGTGTTTATAGGTTATTCTGGTATATGATTGTCAGAAATTTTCAAACTTTTTTGTAAGTAAAATTCAGTTGAAAATAATTTCCCCTGACTTAAGTAGTCTCATTGTTTACAAAGGGGTGGTCAGGGGCAGTCATTAAAGGCACAGGAGCAAGAACTGCCCTGGTCAGCCAAAGTTTATCAGTAATGGGTCATCTATCTTTGTCCTCAGGTTGAACCTTTAGTGACATTCACTTTTGATTCGGACACAACATATAAAAGAACCCCGGAAAGCTCTCAAAGTGCATTCATTATAGTCCTGTGTGCATCAGACCAACCTTGGAGACTTGAAATGATTTATCTGACATCATCAAATGTATGTAAGGATGTATTCCCAGTTGTGACAACTTAATTTATTGTGCACTATCTCTGAAGACCATGTGATAACAATTTATAACCATATCTAATATCTGTTAACCAGTACTTTGTCACTGTAACTGTCAACCAAGCCTACCCTCTACCAGGGTGGCAGATATCATGGGTAAATTTTCCAAAAGCCACCCTGTAACTTTTGGCCAGATTGAAGCAATTAAATCTGGTATAGAGTAAAACAAGGGTGCATCCAGCAATTTCAAAAGAGGTGTTCCTTAAAAAGTGGATCTTTTTACCATAGTGGCATAGAGCCTCAATAAAATTTTAACCCAGAGTGGACCTTTTCAAGACCAAAAGGGCTGCTCATGCACTTAATAACACTCCACCCCCCTCCAAACACACACCTACATGCCTGTTAAATCCATGTGATAAGATTGGCTAAAAACTGTTTAATATCTGCTATAAGGAGTACTACTAAAAATTGGCAATGGAAGAAAGACCAGTCCTCATGTGTTTTTAGTTGGTGCAGGTAGATGTGTTGATGTCCAAGAGTTCCCACTATAACTTAACTCTGTTGTGGATACAGCCAAGGACTAAAATATTAAAAACCTATTGAGAGACAAAAATTCTATCACCTTTTTAACTGGGCAAGATATAAAATTCCTAAAGTCCATACATGTCTCTTATCACTTTATGTCAATACACTATGTGGGAGTGGATCCAATTTTGTCACTAAGAAAGCACTTAAATTTGACAGTTAACCTTTTGTGGTTTATAACCCACTACAGAAAGAAGTTTTCTTCCGCCGAAGGACACAAGGCACACCTCCTCGACTAAAAAGGTAGTTCTTTTTTAGCATGCCCATATACAGTATACTGTCTGACGTCATATTACGGCCACGCCCTCTGTGCTCACCATATCCTCTGGTATGCCGTAAACAATAAAATATTGTTCCAGATTTTTTATTCAATGGGGACTGATCGTCACTGCACTGGAATTTGACTCTCTGATCCCCCGTGTGCAGTGCGCAAGTTTTGTTTAACAGCAACTTTTTTACTGTCTATTTGCCAAGAGTACGACACGACTGTTTGGTGATTAATGTACTTTTGACGTCTCATCTAAAAGTACGCATGCTCGCTATGTATAACAATATCAGTACCAGTCTACATTTTACCCTCGAAGATTTGAGTATCTTCATTCACTAGTTAAGTCCAATCTCAATATTGATATTATGGGATTTCAAACACTGAGATGTTTAGTTATTACGCTTCAATTGTACGCCCTGGATACGCACGACTAACCCCGTTCTTAACACGAGCGCGTATGTTTTGTCAGGAAAAGCAGTGATTTATAATTTGCTGTTAGGTTTAGCCCTAATTACGCAGCACAGTCTACAGAGAACCATGCTATCGATACGCCTGTACCGCTCTAAATATTGATCCGATTTGAAGAATAATGCCACTTATCCCTAACCTGCTTTTGACGGCCGGTGGTGTTAGTAATGCTTGCGTGTCGCTAGAGTAATAAAGCGGTACCGGGCGCTGTGCGGCGTTGACTTATCTACCACCCGTAAATTACAACCTGTTGATCACCGTGCTACCTGCCAACGATACCACCAGTAACCGCTCGCATTCCTTCCGCGTTCATTGACAACGCCAATTTTTCTCAATTTTCTCAGAACCATGCTTTCAAGAGAATATTGAATTATACTTTGTAGTTTCCTCAGTGTAATTTCCAAGGTGTACCTACCTTTGAGCAAGTGTGTCAATCTCAGTGGAGTCGAGGATTGCTGGAGTAATGCAATATAACCACCGGCGTGTGAGAAGCAGGCGGGTCTCGTATTTGAACACAGCGAATGAGTCAACCTTCCTGGCGAGGCCGGCTTATTCAAATAGCTTGGAAATGGGGTCGCATAAATTTCCACTTCGTAACATAACATGTCAGTCGTGCAGTCACATGACTTTCTCGAGTCGACACTGCGACATATAGTGTGGGATTGATACTGTTGCAAGGATCGACTATGTATTTTATCAAGTTCCGTAAACAAAGGTTAAAAATGTATAAACAATAATGGAATGTTGGGGCACCAGGGAAGGTCAAAAGCGAAGAGCTGTCACTGAGATGAGTGTCATTATTCTTTTGAAGTGTGAGTGGGCTATTATATGTTTACTTTTTTTTCTAAACTGCCGGTTGAACGGAGCTGAAGTACTGGCCCGATTTTCCGCGCAGTCCTTAAAAAATAACCCTCAAACAAAAAGTTCGCCGAGAGACGTTTGTAACGTACGTTTGTCGTAAAATGAAAAAGTCATACTCTTCCTCTCAAATATTTTATTTCTACCACAATTAAACAGTGAGATTGTTATATTTTGAACTGTAGCCTACTAGGTGAAAATTGAACTATTTGCCAGTTTACCGTTTATTTCACTTTGACATACTGAATCTGTCCATGCAATAAGATGCCTAATATATTTTTTCGAAGTCTAGTAAACGTATCAGCGTTCCCCATGTTCCACTATATTAAAAAATACAACTTATAGTATGTATTTCGTATTAATTCTCAGATCAGTTCCTCATCAGCATCACCAATTTTCGCCCTCCTAGCAATCGTCGTCCAGAGTGCCTCTTTTTATATAATAATAGATAAAATAAACTAATTAAATAACATAAAAATCCCATATGTAATAGATTAAGATAAAAGATTAACATTGCAGTTTCTGGAAGAATTCTTGATTTTATTTTTCTTAAAAGGGATATTCATAAAGGCACTAGGTGTATTTTAATATTGACTGATTTTAGTCGCCCCCCCCCCCCCCCTCGCAGAACGCCTTAGTGGAAATCATATTTTCAGTTTGCATTGTTGCGCCGCAGTTTACTTGCTGCTCTACCGCAATTAAAAAAAAACCTTTGGATAAACACGAGATGTATGGATTTTTTATTTATTTTTCTTCCTTTCTTTTTTTCTGTTTAATTCAGTGTCATTATGTCATTATGTTTTTGTGATAATAAGATATCAATCTATGTCAATTAATGTAATAAGATAAAATACAATAATTACAATGAAAACGGATTCTGCCATTAGTTGGTCGATCAATAAACATATCATGAACACATTTCCTCCGTCCTGGTGACAATACGATTTACGGTCTTTGGTTATAGGTTGAAATATTTGTAATTTACCTGATCCCTAAAATTTCTATTAAATTTTTTTAGATAAAGTGGCACGTGACAAATATTCCCATTTAAATGCCACAGCCGTATAAATGTGGCAATGAAGCACGGAAGTATAAACCTTTGAAATACTAATTTCCCAAAACCGGTTTGTTGAACAGATAGCTATTTTAGCTATAGTTCACAAATATTGTATTTGAAATGTACTGTTCTACTGAAAAAAAAATGTCCAATATGTTTTATTGCACGATTTAAAATAACAGCATAGATTGGTGTTTCGTTTACAGATTTTTTTTGTTTAACTTAAGATTTGCAAAAAATAAGATAACTCTCTCTTTCTCTCCCTCTCTCTCTTTTTGACGGAATATATATTACAACTCGGTTAATCTAATAAAAACTGCATCATCGAGAACCAGAAATGAAATAATTACGCTTTATTTCACTTAATTGCAGTGCAAGTTGATATGATCAATAAATATACATTATTATTATTATTATTATTATTATTTCTATAAAACTGGTTGGCAAATAGTCAAAAGAATGAAACAACCCATGTGAATGGATAAAAGAACAATATCTTAACTGCTTACTATTATCTTATTTGCGTTTGCAGTCATCGTATTCACAAGGTTTTATCATTATCCCGCGATCTACCTGCTTGTCACATTCGTCTTATTTTTCACTACTTTAGGAAACTGCATAGCCCGAGTTATTGCACTGATGTGCTTAATTCCTTGAACTTGAAAACCCGTCGTCTTCGGGCTCATCAGTGAATCTCCAGTAGGTAATCTTTGTGCTTTCATCTTGATCTTTTTAGACATCCGAACTCCGTCGGTGAGCGCTTTTAAAGTCATTTTCTTAGGTTTAAACACCTGAGCGTCCTTAGAAGCCGGAGTGGGAATCCGGGGCGGTGCAGGGGGGTGGAAACTGCGGGCCACACGGTTGTACACCAAACCCTGTATGGACTTCTTCCGTGAGAGCGGCCAGAATCTTTTACCGTCAGCGTCCACTAAGTTTTCCACAAATATGGCCCTGTCAGTCTTGTCGTAGTTGATGTAGACGCGGACTGGAGAGGGGGTCGTTGAGAAGTAGTATCTGCCTGTCTCATCGTGACGACTTTTGTGACGGTTTTGCTGAGGATGTTTCCCCCGGGGTTGAGATATGTGGGGCAATCCAGCTGATTTGGACGGGTTGCTATGGTTATTACTTACTAGATGTCCATCTCTCATGTTCGACTTAGTTGCGCTGTGTTTCCGATGCTTTTTTGGAGTATATGTCTGTAAACTCCCCCTTGCGCAAGGTTCATTTGACGGTTGTTTCCGCAGTCGAAAATGTGTCGTCTGATGGTGACAGTCACGTGCATTTCCATCGTTTTTGTTGTCTGGAAATAGCTGTAAATTTTGGTTCCGCACATTTAGTTTGTACATTGAGTTTTGTTTATCGTCATCCTGAGAATTTTGAACCTTTCGCGCACAAGAATCTTTTCTTACGCGAACAGTCGGTAAAATAGAGTAATCCCTTGTTGTATAGTCATTGTGTGTTGCACTTCGCACAACGACAGCAGGTGCTTCAACTTGTTTAGATGGTGGTGCTTTTTTTACATCACCCGCTCGTTCTGCGAGTTTACCGCCTTGCCGGCCTTTAGGTTTATTCTTTGCTGACACTTGTTGTGAGGCATGCACAGAACTATCTACATGGTCGCGGGCATCATAGGACATCTTTATTTTCTTATGCACCCAATCTGCCGAATTTGCCTCTGCTGGGTATTGTTTTACACGTCGCTCTTCCATGTCATCCTTATAAACCTCTTCTCGCAAAGCTTGAATCCCCTCGCGCACTTTTTGCAGATAGTTAAGAAATTGCTTAAAACTCAGATTGAAGACTATGTCCAAGTCTCTAAGGCGCGGTGTATCTGACCCGTTGTCAAGCTGCATTAGATCTGGCTGCTGTTAACAATATCACAGATTATTGTGAAACTCTTTAAAGGAATCTGAGTTCAATTTATACTCCTCACTTCATGTTCATCTTATATAACTGAGTATTTATCAGAGCTTTGTGCGTCTAGTATTTTCTATTATGTCTATGCTCGTTATGTCCACGCTAATACCTTCAATATACCACTCTATTGCAAATTTGGCTAATAGTCGGCGCAGTCAGTCAATAATGGCTGCGAGGCACTTGTGGGGATTATCGGGATTATCCACTTAGGAACGGTAGTCCTTTCTGGTGGCAGTCCCCTGAGTGTACCTATTCATGTATCAACGGTGCTCGAGACGAACGCTGCACAGTGATATCCACTTCTATAGTCACCTTTTTTTTGGAATTTTGTCCTCGAACTTGTCGCAAGTGTATCGTGTTATACAAATGTGACACAGTGTGCCTTGGGCAGTGAATCTGAGTTCTTAATAATTGGTTCGTTTCCGATTAGAATTGGCTAAGTGATACAATTTTAATCCCATATGTGCATTTCTAATGAATTTACGTCTATTGAATTAACGCAGAAGTACATTGCTTCGCAAGTTTAATATTAGTGGCAATATAAAAAAAAATTCAAAAATATTTTTTGGCATTTTAAGTGCTTATTCATTCTACAATAGTTCTTTTCCTGCATTCTATTTTTTTTTTTCAAAATAGTTTTAGCATGGACTTCATTGAGCAATGTAAGTGAGTTTTCTGTACATTTGGGGACATTTCTTTGCTCTAAAAACACTGAACATCACGAAGGCAGCTACATGAAAGTCTTACTTGCCGCTCCTATCAGAATTTTTTTAAAATCGCACATCATTTGATTATCTTTCTTATGGCTGGCACAGTTATCCCAAGGTTACCTTACGTCTAGTATCGTGGGTCGTCATGTATTATATATATATACATGTTTAATCGTGTTCTGGTTTGCAGGTGGGTAATACTAATAAAGTCATTGATTACATTCTCAGTGTGCAGTCTTACTTTGCAGTATTTCTTCCTGAGGTGGCTTTCTTCTACATGGACGTCTACTTCGAGAACCGGGGTAATGAGCGAATTACCTCGTCAATTCCTGCAGAGATTCTGGATGTTCTATAGAAAATCACTTTCTTTAATTTCCTGCATTACGAGCGTGGTATTCTTCACGCAGTGCACCACTGTGGTACAAAAGCGCCAGCTAATGAAAACCCACTGTTCATGACTGCGCTAATATCTCGACATTTAAGCAATTTTCTCATTTTTAAAACGGAATAAATCCCAAGGAAAAGGTAAAATGTCAAGGTGTTTATTAGTTTCCAATCCACCGAGAAAGCCCTGACAGATATGCTAATTTTCTATTGTGGCTTTAATTCCGTTTCGGTAAAATAATGGGCCTTTAGTGGGCAGTGATTAACTGAATGTTGACGTCACTTATTCCATTCCTCCGTAGTTGGGAATTAGGTCCTTTATATTCACTAAAGAGTAATAAAAACGAGCGTTTATTCACTTTAAAACATCTACCTTTCTACAGTAATCCTCCTTTCTTTGTTTTAATCGCGTCTACTTATCCAAAATCTAGTTCGAAATAAATTTACAAGATAAATGTATCTGCTTAAAACAGTTTTCCAGATAATTTTTCAGTTTTGAGAATGTTCACAGTTGAAGAATGAACGGATTTTTTTTTTGCCATTTATTGCTTCCTCTAGGACTGGTGCTAATTCATATTGTGCTATTAACGTTTGTCTTTTTCTTTCCTTCATTTTTCTTTCTTTCATTTATTTATTCAGCTATGCAATTTCATTATTATTATTATTATTATTATTATTATTATTATTATTATTATTCCATTAACGTGTAGTCGTTGAAAGGCACCTTTGTGAAAACCAAGTGGTGAAGAGAAGACCCTGGGTTTCATACAGACGCCAAAGATAAGACGCTTCTAACAGTATATCTACAGTATATTGTCAATGCTTTAATTCAGTTCAATTTATTTCTGTATTGGTTTCTGGTGCATATATTTTACGGCCTTGTACAACGTAATCCAATACTAGACAACCCAAGACAATTTAATACAAAACAATACAGTATAGTACACGACAGTACAGTGCAATGCAATGCAATACAAGACAACACAGTATGTTCAATACAATACAACACAAATGCAATGCAATGCAATTCAGTGCTATTTAATACAATACAATACAATACAATACAATACAATACAATACAATATCATTATTATGTGAATAATGACCGGGTGCCCATTTGTACCTGCAGTATACCACAGTGTATAGTACAGGGTAGTGATGCCTAAGTGCACGTGGACACAGTAGGTAACGTGCCCCCTCTACCCAAGTGGGGGTACCCCCTTTTTCTTCCCAAAAATATTACTAGTGAAACGATACACCAAGCACTTTTTTATTCCGTTGTGCCCTTCATATTACAATACAATTGTTCTCTTCTGTATCTTTTATGAATTAAAAAATTGTGCTCCCCATCCCCTTAGAAAAACCCACCACCAGTGGGAATAACTCGATTTTCCAGAGATTTTTAAGCCTGGATATACTGAATTTATCGTGCCTTTAAAGTGTAAGTTTTTTAAACAAACGAAGAGACCCTACATTTCTTTTTCATCTATTTCCCCTAGGTGACCTGTATTGTGAAAGGATATCAATGACTGTTTTCCTTGCCGTAAAATCTCGATTATCATTACAATAGGTGAATGGATTGATTTATCAAAGCCGGCGCACACTAGTAAGGCAACGGCTTAGCTTGGCTATATGCTCAGCTCGCAGTCTCGCAGTGTGCGCTGGCAATCGACACGGTTTTCGCTTGGCAAGACTACAATATGATCGCCCGCACAAACCCCACAGCAGACCATCCCTATATTACACAACAATGTCGCTAAACTATGTTATTAGAATGCTGTTTTGATGCTCTACCATGTGATTGACTCAGAAGTTGACGCATTTATTATCGAACCGCTGCCAGTGATCTGTGTTTTACGTGTACAAGTATTGATTCTGTTCAATGAGTCCTTTACTCGTCGTTCAACCATAACGACCTACAACCTTCGTATCAATATATCAATCCCGCTGTATATTTGATTTAAACTATATCTTTGGATACGCTACATATATTTTTGTTCTGGTAAGAAACAAGTACATTATAGTTTACATATTTTTCTTGAATTTTACATTCGTTTGATATGACACTTAGTCCGTCTGTGTGTTACTCTAAAGATTGAAGTCCACACATAACTTGGATCCAAGTAGTACTCCATAAAAAATACACGTACATTATTGACATGCCAAATATATTGTTCGTATGATATATCATCCGTAATCTGAAGAAGAGATTTGTGCTGTGGTCTCGAGAAGTTCCTTGAATAAAACATTATTATAAAGGATGTATGCATAGTGTCGTGGATACAATGAGAGACAAGCAGCACTTGGCAACTACTTCATCGTATAGCATTTTGATATTGAATAGACGGACACAAGAGGTACCTTGGACTTCTAAAATGGATATCGTATTGTTTCACATTGTTCTTGCTATGAAAAGTGATATAAATAGCTCAAATGATGTTAAAGCACTATTCTAGTAGAATGAGCTTTTATTTGCCGAGTTTTTTTTCTATAGACTCAGTAGAACACTTCAATATATCTATTTAGATAGCAGAGAGTTTTGAAAGCGCACCTTTCTCATTTCAGTCCTTAACTGAATATATGAGTGAAACTCCGATATTTCTCAATCGATACCTTAGTATTGGGGTTTGCCGCGGAGTCAGATGAGCCCACAATGATATTGTTTACATGAAAAGGGATTCTGGTGATTGTTTTGAACGATGTATCGATAGTCGATATCTGTTTCTTCAAACCTTGGCGACGATACCATATCGTGTTCGTATACACTTTGAACCGTGCCCAGCTGGTGGTGACAGAGTGAGAAATAAATAGGGTTGACGATTTTGAAAGGAAACTGCTGTCACCAGTGACATTTTAACAAGATTACGCCGACGATTGTTGACTGTTTAATTAGGTTCACCACGGAGCCCGCTGTGATTACACATTGCTAACAAGAAGAGGAAATCTAGATGGATCTCTCGGTCTCTACGGGTAAAGTGTAGCCGAGAGCGACATTGCTAACAAAGTAACAGTATCTTCGCAACGCAGGTAATCTGCAAACACTTAATACGATGGAAATACCGGTCAGTCGGTTTTATTTCTGATCAATATCGAGTGAGTGCCATCCGTTTTCCATGAAACTAAAATTAACATTTTCGCTAGATGTTTAACAGACATGGCAGTGTAGGAGACGTGGTTGTGCCGCGCGCTTTCATCTCTTGGACACTAATACTGCTGATTTAGCGTCCGAAACAGACATGATTTTAATCAAAATGGAGACGTTTTCAACATATGACCGTCGCACGGAGTTATTCGCCAGACACTGAAAACTGTTGTATTATACAGTGTCAAACCATACAGTATTTCTGGTGTTTCATCAATCCAGAAAAATGTCGGTGCTTCACACGGCTATCGACCATTCCCGGTTTAAGCAGTTCACACTGCTCCTAGACCGCGGCGTTGACGTTAACCAAAGGGACGAAAAAGGGCTCACACCGATTCTGAAATGCGCCTTCTTCCCGGAGAAACGAGCGGCACGATGGATTCATCTTCTAATACAGAAAGGGGCGGATCCCACCCTTACTGACACCACAGGCTTGAATGTCTTATCATACGCCGTGAAGCTTGGCAAGGAATTCCTGGTGAAATCGTTACTGGAGGAGGACTGCGTCGACGTTAATTTTCGTGACAGGGAAGGGAATACGGTCCTTCATTTAGCAGCTTACAACGGCTCCGTGAGAATAATGAAGTGTATTCTGAACAACATGGTGAAATATCGAATGAGCCCCGATTTGCCGAATCAGGAAGGATTTACGCCGCTTATGATCGCGTGCGCACGAGGATATTTGGACATTGCTAGATTGCTCGTGCAAGATGCAAAAGCCTCGTTAACAGTTAGGGATAACAAATATTTCATGAACGCTAAAGAATGGCTGGAGAGCGCTATGGAGATACCGGAAGGTTCTGACCCATTTCGAAACCCATTTGACGACAGAGACCCCAGGGACGGCAGGACTTGCCCTTCAGGATCGCCCATGATCTATGAAACGTCTGACAATAATTACAGATCAAATATAGCAACGCCAGATATTGTTAAAGAGAGACCGTTTTCTCCGTCGTTTACCATCAACCCTGTTAGACGCCCAGCCAAAAGAAGTGCACCCCTTTTACAGCGGGGAAATAAGGCAGGGAGAAGTCCTAGTTCACCAGTAGTCAGTAGTAGCGGGCCTAACGGGAGGAGTGCAACTCCCGAAAAATGGGCACTCCCGAGGCTTGTTCATCCACCTCGAAGTGCGCAAACTCACTCCACCTCACCGCATGACAACACACATATAAGAACAGCATCATCACACGACAAAAAGAAAGCCAAAAAACGCCCCGCGAACACAGCCCAACAATTACCGTCATATCGCGACGAGTTGCAAAGATTATACGGCATCTTTCAGACCCAGTTGACCAACTCTTACAGAGTCCCGGCTGTCCCCGTTGTTCCAGAACCGGAAGCAGACGACAGCGATGACGATGGGGATTCACTGGGCGTGGCTTCGAGAACGTCAAGCGCCTCTCTCGCTTTCTCGGTGTTATCTGCGCGAAGTCGGCCGAAGAGCGTTCTGGAGTCCGTGGTCCAACTTAAAAGTCCCAAACCCGGAGCTAAGAGTAATTCCCCGGTGACGGTCTGGCGGCGCAGAGGGGGGCATGGAAGTGCTAGCTCTAGGGGGTCTCCGGACAGCGCGTCCCCGTCACCCCCTCCAAGATCCCCGAGTTCTAAAGACAGATTGAAGGGACTGACGGGCAAACTGAAAATTGGTTCGGGGGAAGGCAAGAAATCTCTGAGCTCGATGCTTCTTGCAGGAGCAAAGAATCAGAGTTGAAACGTACTCTATTTTTACAAATATTAATCGAAAAACAAAAACAAGTAAACAATATCATTTTATAACATGTATCAGAAAACAACAATTAAGTATTTTTATGTACCATTTCAGCATTGTGAAACATGAGACATTCTTCTTGAATAGGCCCTATTTCGTACACAATAGGCGGTCGCCACAGTAATTTATCATTATTCGTATTGCTGAAGAATGAAATATACATGTTTGATATATAATATCAATAAAACGCTTTTTTTACTGGAGAATTACTTTTATTTCCGTCAAAAATATATGTCAGATTATAATTTGTTCGTCAAAACAGCACGTGTGCATTTACACGTGTACTCAAGGTTTGGAATCAAGTCATGTAACGTCCCCATGCATTGGAAATCAATAAAGCTCTCAGGGGTGAGGTATGAACAGACTGTGTGAAAACAAACCCAGTTCCGGTAAGAGACGATAGATTTATAATACTATATTGATCAGAGCATTGCCCGGTAACCCGCGGTTTCTAGTTTCTGCTTCTACAAGTTCTAGGTTCTATTTAAATTCAAATTTCAGACAACGGTAATACCACATGTGGCGGCTGTTCACAGCGCTTTTATTGAATACTCACCTGGGTTTCTTCCCATAAAATAACAGAGCGTTACTGAGCAACGCCTTGCGATGAATAAATGTAAAAAAGATTTATTGGATTTGTTTAACTCTATTGGGTAATAATCTTTTTAATATACACCATAGTACGATAATGTATTCCAGGACATTAAAAATGCAACATAAAAAACATACACTGTACTTGAGTAAAGTTGGTGGTTATATTTTTATTTCCACCCCATATATTACAAACTGAATCTATCCGTTCGAAAACCTCTTTATTAAAAGGTGAAAAAAGAAAATTAAGTATTATAACAAATTTACAACCAGCAAGTATAATATCTTGAATATATATTTTAAGTTACTAAAATAACCAAGTTGTAAATTATTTAATTTTAAAAATTAAAATTAAATTGACAAAAGTCCGATACGAAAGCTTTTTACATTGCATGGTCTTTGACTTATGATATCTGGGATAATTAAAGACCGTGTTCACTTAGACTCAGCCGTGCAATAAGGTACATGTACCTGTTGGCTTATCTAAGATTTCACCGTGTACACTCATTCTCAGCCACGAAAGACACCTGGTGTCTTATCTTCATCACCAGACCGCAATAAAGCCGTTATTGCCAGCTCAACACGAAGTCCATTTGCAGAGAAATGCCAGCATTCTTTAGGATGACTTCCTGTAAATTAAAACTAGTGTTTTCAAGCTAAAAGATTATCGATTAGTCAGAAAGCCTTCAAAATATTCTAGTTATTTAACCGTGAAAGTTTTAACCGTTGAAGCACATCACGTAAATGCTAACTTTCTAACACCTTCATTAGAACCCAATATTATTTATAGCAATGACTTACAAATCGTATCAACGTACAAAATTAGTCTTAATATAATTGAACCATAATCCTCAACATTTTTTTTTAAAAAAACAACGCACCTGGTTTCCAAAAGTAGTTTGGCATATCATTTAAGCTACAGTTTACACGTGATTTACTTACTTTTGTTTTAGAATTATAAATTGCTTTATCCATTAGATCCAGAGGAGAACCAACAGAGGTGAGACTGAACATGGCTGGCTCTGTCTCGATGCCCATAATACGAAGGTTATCTAATGTCTCCGTGATGTTGAAGTTCGCCTTCTTTATTTCCATAGACAGCGTGGTCTGGAATATGTATTGACAGTACAATATCAAACTGCATAATTTTTTGTTTTCTGCTTTAGAAATGGTCTAACTACAAGTTTTCTTACAGTTTTTGAAACATGTCTAATTATAAAGTTTAAGTAAAGTACCGATGGATATACTCTTATTAAGAAAAAAACAATGTTATTCATGATTACAAATGACAACACAATAACATGCGATATTTTAAACTAAACAAAATTCTTTGGTTCAACGTTTATTGCAAGTAATGCCACCTACTCAGAGGACTTCAACCTTTATATCATGTCGTAGATACGACATGATATAAGAAATTATAAATAAATAAACAGACAAATAAATAAATAAACCAATCACTTCCTAATAATGTGACGTACCCTATTCGAAGAAAATTTTGCATGGAAAAATGTTTCGTTCTTCACTGTGTCTGCAATGGAGGAAAGAATGAAATTCAAACAGAGGCTGCTAATCTCCATTTGGTATGTAATGATAATGATGTATTTATTATTGTAGTTGCTGCTTTATCTGTTGTTTTCAATGACCATTTGATTAGATATTCCTAAATGCAATAAATACAACAAAATGTTGTATTCGTTATGGACAGTTTTGAGAGACTTTCCACATGCATATATTCTGCAGCAGAAGGACGTTTTGAAGGAAAGTGTTCAAATAATTTGTATTTTATTACGGTGATCAGCTATTCTGTTACCTTTACTGCTCCCGTCATCCCAAAACAGCTCCCCGGACGCCGTTCCACTGGAGTCAGGAACGACGAGGAGACCGAACGGGTTCATCCGACTGGAATATGAAGGGAGAAATGGCAATGGCGGCAATACAGCTTATATTAATGGTCACTGTATTAACATACGAATTAGGCCTAATTTAACTTCACTGTACAGTTTGTAAATTTTTCAAATAATCGTGAAACACTTCTTATGAATTGGCATATAATTTTATTTAATATATGAAGTCGGGAGAATGTTTCGCCGGCACTCAGGGAGAGCAATATGGCGGCTTGAAACCGCTAATTTCATAACGAAACTTGCCACAATGTGTACCTAGTCCTCTAGAATCGTGATTCCGTGTACGTGTGTGGGCGTGTTTCAAAGTTTCAAAGTTAACAGACCCAACTTGTGATTGTCGCGCTAAGCTTCAGTCAAACGCCGCTTAAGTCCGTGGGAAACAAGGTGTGTCTATTGAAATTCGGAAATGGAAAAGCTGGGCCGCGTTGACTCAAGAAATCGTTTAAAAGACACTAAAAAGGTCTCTGAACCAGTTACTGTTCAGGAAACGCAGAGTTGGTTTTTACCTGAAATGCGTGTTATTGGCAGGTGCCTGTGTCGGGATAATGTAGCCGCCTCGGACATGAAGAGGAATATAGTCCATAGGGGCGTCCAAAGTATGCGTCTGCCCAGACCCCTTGATCTCAGTGCCCTGTATGAAGGCAAACAAAAAGTTATCATCCATCTATCTGTCGTTCTGAACGTTCATGGCGATTCTATTCAAAAAGCCTTGTGATTAATTTGATGCTAATGTCAACCCCATGTATTCATTTTTTCTTAAGCAATGGTCAACGCTCAACTGGAGTAAATTCCGATCACACATTTGTTTTTACTGATACATGTAGGAACAATTTGGCGGACACTTTGCTTTTTATGTAGTTGGAGGAAGCAGCTAAGATGGGGGAAATCGCACGTTAGTGCGTTTACAAAATGGAAAAGCATTGTGTTCAGGAAGGCAGCGGGCTTGCCCTTAGAAAACCACCGAGACAGAGTGGCCCAACTTCCAGTTCAACTTACCGTGTAGTAATCAAACCATCGAGCTTCCGGAAAATAGGCATCGACCTCCACCCTACCCTGTAACAAGCAACAAAATAATATGTATAGGATTTCCATTAACCGATATCTTTGCATAGATTTTAAAACGCCGTTTTATGCTATCCATTTATTAATACATTCACCAAATTGCATTTAATTATTCATTTATGTTTGGGATATGGGAGATGGTATTCTCAATAAGTGCACTGTCTGTTTCTTCTTTTTATCTTTTTCAGGTTCGTAGTCCTTCTGCCTCTAAGCAGAAGTCAAAAACAAAATCCCGGATACCTGCTCTAACACGGGCGATATCAACAGAGCCGGTCCCCACAGAAACTGACGGTCAACAGACCACGTCTTAGGATCCCTGGGAAACCTGTGGAAAGAAAATAAAATTAAGACTTTTTTTATTGTTTCAATACCTTTAATCATTGTATAAAGCGCACTGAGGTTTCTCTTGAAAGCGCAATAAAAAGATTTTATCATTATTATCATATTATAATTATAATTCTTAAATAAATGGCAATGCATTTGTTACTCTAGTACCCACATACCGTTGTCATCTCGTTACCACATGACAAAAGATGTGCCAGCAAGGAAGGTCCGATTGTTTTGATTGTGACATTTTCACACCTAACACAATGATGCCGTCATAAACCAGACACCACAATTTTTCTTCATTATGTCGTGATTTAAGACAAATTCATAATTCTGCCGTGAACGCCTTGTTATAAAAATCCAGTTCGTAGGTTTATAAATTAATAATGGACTTTTCCCTTTTATTTTTTTTTGATAAGAAGTTTAATTTGTACAACAGGGCACTTACTCGTGAAGAAGAGGTCGTATAACCGTCCCTCCTTCCGTGTGAGCCCTGTAGAAGAGAGTATATAAGTAGGGGAGGAGGGTGTACCGTATCTCTAGTGCCCGTCGTGATGATTCTGCCACCACCGGACCAAATACTGCAGGGTCTTGAGGCTGTAAAAGTCAACAATCATCCACGTTAAAGCGAAAAACACAAACAAAAGCTTAGCCCATACAGAGAAAATCATTAAAGCACATGCATAGGAATTAAGATCAAGGAGAATGTCGTTTACAATGGGATGCTCCATTCGATTTGTAACCCAAACCCGGAGGTATCTTATCCTACGGTCCCGATCTTTTGAGAACCTAGGGTATCCTGGCTAAATCGTGAATTCGCGATCTGGCAACCTCTCCTTGACAACGCCCCACCCCTCCCTGGCAACACCTCAACCCACCCTTGGAAGGGCCCAACACAGTTCTGACGGTTACTCGACACCCCACAGGGATATATACCCTATATCCATATCCGTTGTGGTTCCTCGAAAATGGGTAGAACGCTCCAAGCTGCATCCACCGTTGGCAAAGTTCCGGTGTTGTATCATCAAAGTAGCCGCAAATGTCTGCTCCAATCTGGTATATATTACGGAATATTATACTATAAAAATAGTTCATAACATTGTGTTTTTACAGTCTATTCAACGAAGTATTAAACTTAAAACAAAGCTTCTTCTAAAAATTTTATATTACAGTTAAGGCCTGTAAACGGAGACAAACAAATTTATATTTCAGTAAAGAGTTAACCTGTAAATAAAATATGTACTGTCTCATTCAAAAACAATATGGTCAAAGAACATACTATCAAAAGCAGATGAATGTTTTCTGATGCACTTACATAAGGTATACCAAAGAGATTAAATTCCAGCATACCTGGGGGGAGAAAGACACACAATCCAATCTTAATATATGCACAGCAAATGTTAAACACAAAATTAACTCAAATTGTCTTTAATTACAATCATAGATGACATGGGCAAAAAAAAGGGCATCTCACCACACCTGGCCCTTATTTAAATTAAGCCTGTTACGTATTCACTGAACCTTAAACATAAATACGACTGGATTTCGTAAAATGGCGTAGTGCCACGTTGGCTGATAACACCAGGATTTTCGTACCAATAATGGACTGGTAGAGGTTAGACCACTGACTGGCGTTATCACCTAACCAATGTCCGGCATACTTCCCGCTGCTGGGGTACGTGGACCGAGAGATCACGATACTACGCTCACCCGTCGCATGCTCAGCACCTCTTTAAAATAAATGAAAATTATCAGATCTGTAGAATTGTGCCATTGGTCTTTTAAGAACAATTGCTCTATACAAATTTAAAACGATAAAAAAAATATAACATCAAAGCGATTTCCTCCGATTACATACTCTCATAAACAGAAATGCTTCACAAAAGTCTCCAAAGTGAGAATGGTAATGCAGGCACGTCCCACTTACAGAAGAGTCGGTTCTGTCTGGCTCCAGCCGTACAAACTGTGGACGTCATAATGGCGGTACTCCCTGTCGGCACTCTGCTGAACCCCGATCATACACAGTGTCTTGTCTGACAACCGTGGTCCGTAAACGGCTCCTTTTATAATAATAATAATAATATTTTTATCAATGATAATAATAATAATAAAAATAAAGTGGAGTCAGTATAAAATCAAAAATACACACACATAAAAAAACGCTTTTATTCTCCTTCGGTCAACGTGTCCCTTTTCCTCCTTGTAATGGACCTTCACTGACTATTTAATGCTATAGCTACTGCCGAAGGTTTAGGAATACTATATACATACGTGGTTTGTACGGAGGATCGTCCCACTCGTTCTCGGGGCAGTGCAGGCTCCAGTACGGCTTAACATCCTTTGGCCAGTTAAAAGGGCGTTCTTCGTTTGTTCCAAAATTTGCCGGCTCATTCATATCCTATTTGATGAATATATGAAATATGATACATAGACTAAAACAAAATGGTTTTATTTTATGGTAAGAGATGGACATATACCCTTTTCTGTTTTCTGTGAAGATATTACACAGATGAAATGACATGGCGATAAAAGTCTCTTGTTTTTAAAGGAAAAAATTGGCACATCTAATTTATCATTTTTATTGTACGTATAAAACGGTAGTTGCCATATAGAAAACACTTTTCATGTATTTCTGACATAACTTTAGATCTTGTTAAAGATACTATTTTCTCGGAACAACTCCGGCTTGATTTGTATATACTGTAGTTGTCAAGTTAATAAACTTACACACAGAAGTGTTTGGCATAAAGATAGAGGACAGCACCCTATAGACTACTAAGGTGTTACATCACATCTATGACTTACAATCCATAGTCCATCAAAAGAAACATTCTTGTGGTGGTCTACAATCAGCTTCTGCCAGTAAGCGCTGGAGTTTGGATTCAAGAAGTCGGGGAATACAACTTTGCCCCGGGGCCACACCTAAAGTGAATCTGCGGCTAAAATACCATGGGTCAAAATGCCACAATAACATACTATTAAGTACACAACCAATGGGATATACATGTATCATGGGAAAAGTGTAATCAGATAACACCTATTCCGACTATTACTAACACCTATGCTTTTAGGCAGATTAATAAAGTTAAAACTACCTATCTCTGTATGGTGCAGGTGACTCTGAAAGGTGCAGACATTTCCAAAATATAAACGAGAAATTATGTAAGCTGCCTTAAAACAAATGTAGACATTATCACAGCGGTTTAGTTCAAAAGTACCAGAAGTTCACTATAGTACTCACGTAACCCAGCATGTTCATATTGTTCTCGTTGTTGACAACTTTCAGGTGGTGGGTGGAATAGTTTTGAGGCCATTTTATGAATATGTCTCTTTCAAGGCCCATATCGTATGGTCTGTAACCAGATACATTGGTGATTAAGGCGGGGTCCTGAAAAATACATGTAGAACGAAAAGTTTTAAATTCTACTTTTTCCGGAAAAAATATCCTTCCGACTGTTTTTGGAATATGTGTCTACTTGAAGATACTATCATTAGGAATGACCTTGTAGCCTTTCATTACACGACTGTTGTTGGTTAATACTCGGCAAATACAACAATCTTATCGTTGTTACGTACAGCATCAACGTACCAAAATAATGATGAAACGCATTCCTTGGCTCTGTAGGTCCCGGATGTAATCTTCCAGACCTTTGAAATTGACCTGGTCCACTGTGAAGTCCATCTGACCGTCCATGTGGTCAATATCAGCGTACTGGATGTCCTGTTTGGAAATAAAACCAATGAAATTTTGAGAATAATGGTAAATTATTTGTGTGAACGTGTGACAGAGAATCTTAACTTGCAATTCTTAAACCATTTAACAAAACATTACGGGGGGAGGGTTGTAATGTTCAGATGTAGATCATAGCACGCATCGGTGAAAAACCTGATTGTATTTATCGGTATACCACACTTTAACAAGAGACAAACGAACGGAACTGATGTATTGTAATTAATTTTCTGTTGCATTGGTTTAATTTTATTTCTAATCATTTATATAAAGAAAAAAAAACAGCTCTAAATTTTGATTTTATTATAGTTGCTTACATATGGAATGGACGCATTTACTGTCCTATCCACTGCCGCCTTCAACTCCCTCAACGAGTTGTAACCATAGCGACACAACTGGAAGCCCAAGGACCAATATGGTGGCAGGTGGGGCTTACCTATCAACTGGAAGAATAATGAGAGGTATTTTGGTGTTTGAAGATGGCTGATTTGTTGATATGACAACTGGTAAAAAAGAGTCATACAAACAAAAGTGATTCGTCTTAATTAACGTACAAATAGCTAGAATAGTGAAAATGAGACCACTTCTCAGTTCATTTAAATGTTGGTGAAACTGTATATAAATAAGACTTTTATCTACGAAATACTCATGCACATACTCCTTCATATTGTTTGACAACATCTTCTGGTTCAGGTCCAAGAAACACGTAGAAGTCCAGAACGCCCCCTATCGTTCTGTACGTCAAGCCAGGAGCTGGTAGAAACTTGTATTCTGGACGGAAAACAAAGGCGTTATATTTCAGTTTCAGTTATAAATTGAAATGTTGGTCTATTGTTTTATTCATATGTTGAATAACCAAAATTTCGTTCTTTCAGATATTTAGTACGTAGATGTCGTGGCTGTGTATTTACATTAGTTAAACCTTAATTATTATCAATAAGATTAGCAATGCTAATCTTACTGAATACCAGACTTTAAATCTGTTTTTTAAAAATCATTTAATAAAACTCAAATAATACTCAACACTCACCCATGGCATTGCTGTTTAACAGAAAGACGCCGTGCATGTTTCCGTTGTTATCCTCCAAGCACGTGTAAAACGGATGGACGCCGTACAGATTCCCTCGCTCCTAGAATAACCGGTAGAAATATCGTAAATGTTTCCGCTCTCATTTAACCTCAAGTCATAATCTTTAATTCCTCAATGATGCATTAATACCAACATCCATGACTACAAATGCATAAAATAAAATAAAATAAAATAAAAATACAATAAAATAAAAGCAGTATTAGAATATAACTTACTCCAAAAGGAGGCGGTTGATCTCTCGAAAACATGGGCCAGGTGTTGAAGTTCATATCGTGCCGAAAACTGTGGTGCTTATTTTCTCCGAACCCATACACGTTCTGACTGGGTAAACGAGTGCTTATCTGTATGTAACGGTCTTCAAACACGAAACCGCCGATGCGTGAGTCCCATCTAGAACAAATTGGAGAACTGTGCTTTACAAATACATAAAGTGGAACGTTCATCAGAGTTTGGTTTGCAAGACCTGTAAATTTTAAAATGTAAGTTTAAAAGAAGCCATATATACCTCAGAGTGACGAAAATATTACGACGTAAGATTTACTGCTGACAAGTCACGTCAATGACGGCCATAAAAATCATGGGTTGACAGATCAAAAATATCTTCAGACTTTGAGGTTATGTTTAAGTGTGAAATGCATGACAAAATGAAAACAAATAATAATTTCTATGAAATTTACATACAGTGTTATATTTGTACTCTTCCTCCAAACACGTAAGTAGAAAATACCATTGGTATCGTTCTTAGTTTCGTATTCGTAGAGACGAGTGTTCGAATTTCCCCCTTCGACGTTTTCTAAAGGAACAGGAACTTCGTATCGGTCGTTGTTAGGGTCATGGAACTGAAACAAGGGGAGAAAATGATAGATAAGAAGATATTGTATATCAGATTTGCGGGTTTCAAAAGTTTACACAATGTCTGCCAAAGCTTAAAGCAAAATAGTCGATAACCACAGAAGTATCGTTTGACACAAGATATGGGGAAAAACACCTGTACCTTGAAGTGTAGAGTGTGGTCATTCAATTCTTCTATTTTGAGGTTTAGTTCTCTCACAGGATTGTCGAACATTTTCACCTGCCCCAGCCACTGTAGAGTAACAACCTTCCCATTAGCAGTATCGGTGACTGATTTCAGTGTGTAACCAACGGTATCTCTGAGAGAAAATAGGGAAAATAAGACAAAGTGAAATTTATTATTAGTCAGTGTGATTTTATAACTCGAATGGTTGTTTCTTCTGCAAATAAATGTTGAAAGACTTTGATACACACTCACACAAACGAACGGCCCTCTTTTCACAATTTTTACCAACAACTAAGGATCATGACTTACTTTTCTAAATGATTTTAAACAAGGAAAAATTCTAGTGTTGTTAAAACTTCAAGTTGTAAACAGATAACAAGAAACTACACTCTGATTAGTAAAATTATTTATTTCAGAAACCAATGTTTAAGACCCCATTTCCAGAGATTAGATCGATCTACTTTAGATCGACCTAACTCCCTGGGGGTTCACGCTAAATAGCTGTCAGCCGGGCGGACACGAAAGTTAATTACCCCTTTACAGCTTGTAGTAGGCCGGACGGACATTTAAGCCGGATTATCTGACAGTAATCTAGTGAGACTCCCCGCGGGGTTAGATCGATCTAAAAGCTCTGGGAATACAGCCTAAGACAACAAAGAGCAGCCAGTAAATACCGTACAGCACGGGACTTCATTAAAAATTAATACATATTTCTCTTTTTTCTTTTTTTTTTCGCATCAATATATCTATACAAAATATGCGTGCTTCATAATAGTAATGACACGAAGCACATACTTTCTATACTTTGTACTATTGTTCTGGTATCAGCTGAATTGGCTTTTTAAATGAAATGTGCGTGAAATAAAAATACTACCAGCAGCTTACACACACACAGAGCGGAAAAACGGGGAGCTGAAACTGTCTCCCCTTCATCTCCCTGTACCCTGAATTCCTACGAGTTACATTAGCTATGCACTACAAGTAATGAGCAGCTAACACCCTCTGAGACAAGGGGTGCCGTTCACTGTGCCGGTATATGGTATTGGTCCGGTACCCACATACCACATTCATACCAGAGGAGCTTGACGTTCGGGATGTGTCATGCTGTGAATTTTACCAAAATGTCTGCATTATTTTCAACACAAAAGGAACGTCATTTCAATTGCCCTTTTAAAAAATGCAAAAGTTCAGGTCCAGCAATTATCATTAATGAACACAATTAACATGCATAGTGATGCTTGAAGGTCGCCATCAAATCCTGCACAGCTTGTATAATCGATGGCCGGCGACTAAGACTGTCACTCATGCACTGAGAAGCTAAATCTTTCAGTCCACCGATCTCCCCGTCAAACTCGACCAACTCTCTCAGAATGAACCCAAAACTGAAGACGTCCAGCTCCTCCCTGGGTTTGCCGTATCTGAAGAGCTCTGGAGCAACGTGAGGGCAATCGTCGCGGATGTTCAAGAGATGTTCAAAGCTGCTTCCTTTCATGATGGGGTCCCTGTCGCTGAGACACATGGCCAGGCCGTAGTCGATGATGCGGGGGTGGAGGGTACCATCGGGATCCTGAACTACCATTATGTTATCTGGCTTCAGGTCAAACAAACCCACTCCTCGCTGGAATGAAAGAAAAAGAAAGTGTCAGTCCTCGAAATGGCTACTACATGGTCATCTTTTTTTGTAATGATTTATCCAAACACGGCGGTTTTATACTCATTAGTCACATTATAAGTAGACCAGGCTTTATAACTTTGATTACTCTGATTCAGGGGGTGACACTTCTATTGTTCAGTGTGTGTAACTTGACTAACTATAACCATTTTAATAAACACTGCTGATGAGGGTTTTAAGCGAACCTGGTGGATCTCTCCGATTCCTAAACATAATTCTATGCTGAAATTAATCCAAGCTCCAGTTGGAACTCCACGAGCAACGTCCGTTTTCAAAAAATCTTCCAAAGTGTAGGATGTTTCTGACTTCTCCTTGAAGCAGACGAACTCGGTGACCATTGCAAGATGGCAGTACAAAGTTGGATGATCCCCGAAGTCAACAACACCGATCAAATTCGGACATGCGTCGATGCCTTGAAGGTGATTCAGGAATCTGGCCTCCGCCATCACGTTCTGTACGGTAGATGAGTTTTTGTAAAACATTTTCACCGCCACAAGTGTATCTGTAGGCTTGTACTTGGCAAGATACACAGCACCAAACATCCCAGACCCAAGTTTGCGGAAATTTCCACCGGGATCTTTCAGGAATTTGATGTCGCTCGGCTGACAAAAATTGACGCGCTGGGCCTGAAATAAATAACGCAGGGATTTTAATGACATGAGAAAGAAAACAAAGAGCAACTTGAAAATGAGGAGAACGGTTTGGATAAGAAAAGTACGTTGACTAAGAAAAGGCGTTGAAAGGACCAAGTGCAGAAGGTTAAGAGAAAGGTCTACCTATAAAAAATTATTTCTGTAAATCAAAGAACCAAAACAAAAAATAATAATAAAAGAAAATTACCAATTTCACCGGTGCCCGATGAAGAGGGGACAGGTATACCCGAGTGTTTGGAGTCCTGCCATCGCCTCTACCAGTTGGATTGTATTTCCGACCATTCTTGGCTAGATTTCTAGAGACGTCACCTCTGATCTTGAAACCCCAAAGCTCATCCTCCAGGAATTTGAGGTTGTCAGGCAGACGAAGATGGCCACGCTGGGTCTAAAATAAATGATGAACAAAAAAGATGAAGAAAATCAATAATACGAAAAAAAGTGCAGAAATGGTGTGCCATAAAACTGCTTTTCAACAATATTCAATAAGCTAATTAGAAAAATATGTGTGTGTGTGTGTGTGTGTGTGTGTTTGTCCATTATAAATAACTAAAAATAACCACTAATGGATTTTTAAAATTTAAACAGCAAAGAATATTACCAAGTCATTCGGTGACAGGTACCGCGGACATTGATGTACGTCCCTCCAATCGCCGTTGCCAGTTGGAATGTACTTTCGACAATTTTTGACCTGGTCTTTAACGAAGTAAGAACTGTTCTTAAACCCCAATATATCTGTGGGATCAACAGCTTGATTCTTCCCTGTACAAAATAGTTTGCTGACTTGACGTCTTATGTTATGGAAGATTCCACTTTGTCTCTGGAAAAAATGACTAATAGTTGGAACAGGATATGAACTTTATGGGGACATAATAATAATAATAATAATAATAATAATAATAATAATAATAATAAATTTCATGTTAAGTTAATATAGTTTCATTTACAGACATCAGTAACTGAGCTGAGTATTGTACATTTTCAATATTTTACTTTTAATCTACCAAAGAAAACATGAATGAAATACGTTACTTTGAAATACTTACCAATGTAGAGGCGTTAGACTGTATATCTGTCATAATATCAATTCACGTTTGTAAATCTCAGAAAAGTGAGCGAAATCGCGTGTAGCTAATCCACTGAAGCGTGCAAATACATGTACGCGAATATTGGTGGTCGTAGCAACGTCACTACGTAAAATACGTACGCGTAATTATGACGCTGGGACATTGTTACGTATATTACGTCACGTTTCGCGTTCAAGCGACGTTAACCTTACTTTGGTAAATAGCAGTATGGAACTCCGGGGGCGAGGGACAATTTCCACAGACATCTTCGCTTTAGACATTCCTGCTCCGTTATGTGTCTGTGGTCAGCGCTTTCTGGAAAACAGTCCAATCGCTCTTTTTCTTCCTCTGTAGCTTTCGGCGTCGCACTGTAAAACGATATTGAATTACTTATGACAGTTCCTTCGACATAAATTTCCTTGGCTGATTTTACTGTGAAAGTCAATAGACCAGAAAATACTTAAACCGGAAAATGTTAATGCACATAAGTGCTTCTGATTTTTAAAATAAAGTTCAGCACTTGTATTCAATATTTTGAAAATGATTTCGAAAGATAATATTTAGTGAATCAATGTAAGATTATAGCGTTACAACAGTGAATGTAATGCATTACCTCCATTCTACGATAAAAGATTCATTCATTTTTAGGTAAGGAGCAAGTCCATCTATTTTGAGGACCTGTTGAAAAAAATACAAACATTCATACGTAAAACGAAAACTGCATTCGAATGGATAAAAAAATTGCCATTTGGCACTTTTGGAAACAAACAAACGGAAAAGTCTGGCCTCTGGTTCATTTCCTGGCACTGAGTCAGAATACATACTTCCAAATTAATTTATGATAAAAGAAAAATTAAAATAAAGGTTAGTCTGCAATGTACGTAATTATATTTCCCAATCTCAGTCTCAATGTAGGCCTACATGTTCTGCTCACCCTATTCTCGCTATCGTAATCAAAGAAGTGTAGTTTTCCATTGACGTAAGCGGCCAGCGGTCTCTCCTTGACCCCCAGTACAGTAATACTGCCCATAGTAAGATTGGACATCATGTCGTTGTTGTGTTGAATTTCCATCTCCACTTGCATCTACATACAAATCAAAATAGGTTACTGTTTTTTTATTTATTCATTTTTTCTATGTGAGAAAATAAGACCCTGGGAAATTTGTTGATGCGATATATTAGACTTAGGCCGTTATTGAAACAATAAATTCTTCTGATTTTTGCTGTATCCAATGACAAATATATTTTTAAGAATTTTTAGAATTTGTTAAATCGTCAAGAGCTGACCTGGTTCGCCTTGAACTTGGCTAGAAAGTAATCTCCACTTTCATAGGTATCTAAAATAAAACACAGAGGCGACGTACTGTAATATATTATTGTGAATATAAAGGGGAGTTGGTTATTACACCCTCATCATCCGGAGTCTGAGGGGTTAGAATGAAATATTGTGTTAATGAACAACATTTAAATATTTATGAAAGAAAGAAATGTCACGAGATCACCATTCACATGACCAAGGTCCACAGATGGTGGCCCCAAAGGTCGTGTTTACTCATTTATTCTCCAAGTAAAAAATAATTCTGTTTTATCATCCTATCTAGAGACACTTTCATAGGATACAGCAGGTGTCTGAACACTGACCGATAGAGTCGCCGTCGTCCCAGAAGAGCTCTCCCATGGCCGTTTCTTGGTCATCTAGGGCCACCAACAGTGAGAACGGCCTCTGGCGGCTGTAAGAGAAGTGAGGCGTGATTTGTACAGGAAAGGGAATCAATTTTCTTTCATAAAAAAGGAAAGCAAGGTTTTTATACTATTTAGAAGCAATTATGTAATTTTGCTGTTAGAGGTGAGAGTGGTCTAGAAGAAAAAACATGATATGTAAAGAGAAAAGAAGTTTTTTATGTCATTATTTAACATCCGTGACACAATGATTTTTTACAATGCTTAAACATCTAAACATTAAAAATATCTTAACAATAGAATATTTGCCAAATAAAGAAATAAATAAAAAATAATGAAAGAAAAATAATTGAATAAAAAAAGGCTCACAGCTGTGAGTTTTGACAACAAATATCGTGTAACCAACCTCGCTACAGTGTTTAGATCCGGTTCCTGGCCCGGAATAACAAAACCTCCCCGGACGTACAAATGGATCGGGGAATCCGGTTTAATTGGTAACGACATGTCCTTGGCTTCATTGTTGGTCACCATGGCTCCCTGTTGAGAAGGACATTAATGATATTTTATCATTTAACAGTAATGGTAATAATAATTATGGTAATTTTGTGGTGGACATAATGAAAGATTTGAATGTTCCTTTCTAGTTAATAAATAGCGACTATTGAAATATCAAAACACAATGATGCCATTAATGCATGCAACTGAAAAATAAAAAACAGTGACGCCATTATCAGGTACAACAGAAAACAAAACAAAACAAAACACACAGTGTCATATTCCTCAGTATGGTCACCAGTACTTGATATTTGTTTTATGACTATTTGGCATTTACCCGAGATTTTATTACATGTAGGGCCTACTTACCGTGTGATAATCATACCACCTGGCCTTGGGGAGATAAAAGGCAAGACTCGTAACCCCCTGTAATACAAAACAAGATTTGAAGCTTAACACTGCGAAGGTATAACTTGAGAGAATTCTTTAAAAATCCTCTCAAGAAGAAAATGCGCCTGATGCGAAGCCATACCGCTGAGAAATAATACATAAATAATAAGTTATATCTACAAATACAGAGAGGACGACTTGCAGTGATGTAATTCTTCGTGGAATATAGAAGTTTTATTTTATTTACGATATGATTCAACTGGTATGCTTGCGTCATAGCTTACTAGCTTCTTTTTTAGATTTCCAACTCATCGTTAAAATGCCTCGTTCACATGGAGATTTGAAAATGAAAAACCCAGAGCGCAGCACTTGAAGTGTAAGTACATACCTGTTCCAGCACCGGGACGATCATAAACGCAGGCCCCCATAAAAACTGTCTGTCTATACCCCACGTCCTGTTGTCTGTGGGAAACCTAAAAAATTGAAGGTTCTCTTCATGTCACTGGTATTTGTTTACAACAATTACTTGTGAAATGAATCCAAAATTCCCGAACATCATCCACGGTGAAAAAGAAAATAGAGACGACAGTCTGCATTGTGAAAGGGGATTTACAACAATGCTGCGATAGGCCTTAAACCATAATCCGTTGAAAATACATTATTTCAAAACCTCGGCAAGCACCAGTAAGGCAGTTGGCATGGTTTCAACTCACTCGTGCATGAGAGGTCTAATGACCGTGTTGCCGCGTGTGTGTGCGATATGGAACAGCGTGTACAGGTACGGAAGAAGACGATAACGTATCAACAACGCTTCACGTGAAGGTACTGCGACCTCCTCGCCAAAATACCCCGGGTCTTGTGGCTGAAATGAAGTAGACGATTTCAAATCATGAAGAAAAATTACATGAAAAGGGTAATTTCTTGATAATCATAAGTTCTTTGAATGCCAATAGGAATTTAAAGCTAATTTTTTTAGTTTTAGTTTTTCATTAATACATTAAATCAAGTTTATTTGATGACCTAAGTGTGTTGTCTTTTAATTTAAAATTGAGATAAAAAAAAAACAATAAATCAATCTGTCTGCCTTTGATGTTCTTTGACTGTACCATATTATCGATTCCATTGTGGTTTCTTGAGAAAGGATAGAAAGCCCCCAGCTCCATCCACCGCTTGCACATCTCCGCTGTAGTTTCTCCCCAGAACCCACAGATGTCAGCACCGATCTTAAAGATGAACACTGGAGTAGACACACACACACACACACACACACCAACTCACCGGTTACCAGAGATTACTGGAAACCAACCTCTAATGACACATTACCTACACCGAAACTAGAGGAAGTTTGTTTTCGGCAACCTATGAAACTTAAAGCGCATTCAGAACAGCGGACTAACTAGTCCCCGGATCAAATATGGCCGACCCTCTTGAATGCCTGTTGCCTAATCCCCGCGGGGAATCTATTTAGTGTCTAATCGGGAGTTATGCGGCAAGCTTTTTAGTGGGTCGACATACTTGATCTGCGGATCTGTTAGTCCTCTGTTCTGAACGCGCTCATATATAAGGGCGTGTGTTCGGGGCAGTACGGTTCGTGTTCAAAAACCACTCTCGTGTTATTTTCCCAAAAGAATTATATATAAGGATATAAAAAACTGTCGCTTGGTAAAATTTACAGTATGATCTCTTGTAATTACAAGTCTTGTGGTCAATACTTTACACTGAAACTAATAAAACTGAAAAAATGTTCTCCGTTGATCTAAGTATGTTAAAATCCACCAGTGAGCTCTTATACGTACGTATGGGATACCAAACAAGTTGAACTCCAGCATTCCTAGAAATAAATGTAAACGATGAAAGTCACCAAGTAAGAACCGGCGAAAGGTTAGGCCTACATGGCGGTCTACGAAAACTGCACCTCTGTAAGACAATATTCAACTCCAAAGATAAAGGATAAAACAATGGAACCTCTATGAAGTAGCAACACGGTGTCATCTTGCGCTTAATATGACTGATTTCATCTGAAACTCATATAATCTAGGAAAATTCATATTATCTAAGAAACTCTCAAAGTCTCCGTCGCCGTCAGGCCCCAGAAATGTTAAACCAACTAAGACAAGAGCTTACTTTAACGCGTTCAGCTTCATATTCGGTATAGTCATCAAATTCTTCAATCCCATGATACAACATTGAGGACAACCCTCCCTTTACCTATGATAGACTCGTGTAGGTGGGGCCACCTGCTGTCGTTGTCTCCAAGCCAATGTCCAGCGTGTCTGCCACTGCCCGGGTACGTAGATCTACTGATGACCATACCACGCTTGCCAGGCACGGCTGCCCTCAGAGCACTGAATTGAAAACAAACGCGTGTCAGTATTTGTATCAATTACTGTCGCAAATACAAAGACGGTCGGGGCACTGTCGTTAAAAACAACAGTTAGGTCTAGTCTGTTGCTCAGACCTTCTGCTGTTTTTGCAGATAAGCGACCTGTTTCTCAAGCAAACACGACACTTGATGTTCATTGCGACTTTCTGGTGATTATAAACTGTTAAAAAAAGATTCTCTTTTTAATCTTTATATAACCTGTCATTATTTTTCTTTATTTTATTTTATTCACTGCAATTTCTGGCTTTCTTGAAACGCAAGGTTCTGGTATGGAAGTAAAACAAAAGCACTGATATTCGATTCTTTTATGCACAAAATCTCCTCTGCTGTCTGCAGTGTTAGATGTCTTATTCCGCTGTATAAGGTGTCTTACTTGAGCGTAGGTTCCGTTTGGCTCCATCCATACAAACTGTGAACATTATAGTGGAGTTGTTGACCATCTTCTTGCTCAGCAATCATACAGAGTGTGTTATCAGACAATCTGGCTTCCCTACTTTCGCTATCATAGGTATATGCAGCCTCTAGAAAATTTGCCATTCTTTTAAAACCACAAACTATCACGTAAGCGTTTTATTTCAAAATCTGCGCAACCTTTTTAATTGAAATTTAAAACATATTTTTACATAAAATTGCACCTATGTGTAAAATTTGAGAGCTTTAGCCATCATAATTTTTCTACAATGCCCATTTAAGTTTGAAAATAAGCCACTTTCTGTCGATTTCTTAAAGGGTGAGTCAATATGACAACACGACCATAAAGTCACTGGAGTAATTTAAGGAATAGCTTCCCAAATTCTGGATCGTTTTTAGAGAGACAAAGGTGAGCGCAAGTTTTGGGTCGAGAAAGATAGATTATACTCTAAAGAGATTCAAATGCATAACCTTAAATTGCAAATCAGAAAATAAAATGATTGAAATTTTAAAACAATCAAAGAGACCTGAACACAGAAAAAATACTGACACTTTTTTCTTTGAAGCAAGATCACCAGAAATATATCATGTTTTCCCCCAAATTATTTTCATTGAATAATCTTACTGGTTCTGTACGGCGGGTCATCGTAACTGTTCTCAGGGCATTTCAATGACCAGTAGGAGGCCATACCCTCTGGCCAGTTCCAGATCTTCTCTAGGTTGGTGCCGAAATTAGCAGGTTCGTTCATATCCTTTAAAAAGTTAAACATAAATAGTTGGTATCTTTACCTTAAGACGGTGCATTGATTGGTATGTTATCATAACGTTATGCGGTGCCATAATGTTTAAAGTGCTGGGGGGGGGGGGATAAATCCAGTTCGAAAGATACTATATATGTGCCTACAAAACTTCAGAAATCCCCGTCATAATTATTCAAGTGCGAACACTGAATGACGGTTACCCTCATGCTAACTGAGATCATTGCCGCATTTTTAAAAATCTTTCTTTGAGGTCAAATTTGGTGCGAACGATTAATTAAACCAAAACCATCAACATAAACTAAATGATTTAAATGTCAATTACTCACAATCCATAACCCGTCAAATGTTAGGGTTTTGACGTGTTTTACAGTGAGATTTCTCCAAAAATCGGCCGTCCTGTTCAGGAAAAAATCTGGAAACACTGCTTTCCCTGATGGCCACACCTTTGAAAATAATAATATAATATAATATAATATAATATAATATAATATAATATAATATAATATAATATAATATTTGATTGATTTAAGAAACACTGAGTATCACATTTAGACAACAGAAGACTGATCGTAGTTGAAGTTAAATTCTGCTAAATATTTTGAATGCAATTTTCTATGTTCCAAATACTGGCTGCAGAAAAAATTACGGGTAAACCACTGTGTATTAGGTGTAGTTAACATATGCGAAAAACACCAAAAATGTGAGCAGATAACGCCATTTTCTTTCTTTGACTCTTTCCTATTGGCTACTCATAGATATTGAAAACACTGACCCATCCATGCATATTCCGTGTGCCGCTGATATCAGGTTTATCTGTGTCAGGAATCACGCTCTCATTCGGCCACTTGATGTACAAGTCTTCCTGGAGGCCCAGATCATAGGGCTCGTAGTTCGTGTTGTTTGTGATTAACGCAGGATCCTGAATAAAAGATGAGACATATGCAGCATAGGGGTAGAAGACAAAGGTTGGGTTTATGGCCTGGTAGACTCTATACTACCAGTGCTCCATACCAAAGGCCAGTGATGACATGAATCCCATACAAAAGTTCTTGTTTACAGTACAGAACGATGTATTGAATTAGCCAGAGATATATTTGAGGACATCTAATGAAAAGAGTCCTGGTAGAGGGTGCTAAAAAGGTACTTTTCATGTTCAAGTGATATATGGGGAAAAGATACCAAAATTATAATGATGTGCATGCCGTTGTCTTGCAGGTGCGTGAAGTAGGCCTGGAGTCCACCGAAATTGACCGGGTCCACTGTGAAGTCCTTCCTCTCGTCCATGTGGTCAATATCAGCATACTGGACGTCCTGTTTGGAAATAATAGCGTGAAACTAATGGAGATTTGGGAATAATGTTGAATTGTTTGTGTGAACGTGTGACAGAGAAACTTAACTTGTAGTGCTAAAACCATTTAAAAGGATTTGTCAATGTTTTGAGTTACAGTGCCAAGTGGAATGAATGGACACAGACATAAGGCACTTTCTATTCATACCCAAACACAAATAGGTATGTCATATAATTTCAGTCGGTTTAGATCAAGGAGACATAAACACAAAAACGCATTGAACTATCTCAGTAACAATTGACTAAAGATGAATTTGCCAGGCAAGTTTTGGGCATTTGGTCAAACACTTTAGGGAGTTCATGATTAGGCACACTTACTGACTTACTGAATATGCTACATTACCTGCGGAATATTATATTCTCGTGTCCTGTTAACAGCTGCTTGGAGATTAGTTAAATTCTTATAACCATACTGACACAGCTGGAACCCCAGGCTCCAATATGGCGGCATGTATGGTCTGCCGATCACCTGGAAAAATAAACAAGAGAGCAAAGCTGTCAAATGAACAGACAAAAAAAACAAAAAAAAAACAGAAAATAACGATGCTGAAGGTATGGCCTGCCGATCTCCCGGAAAATAGAAAACGCATTTCCGGAACATTGTTCTTACCGGGACTAACATTTTTCTTAAAACATGGATTGATTGGAAGAATTAGATTTATTTTCAACTCTTAATTTCTTGTGTGAATTAACTACTTTTAAGAAAACTCAAAATTAGATAAATAAATATGCCTGAAATAAACAAATCAATAAATAAAGCCAGTAGTCTCCCTCCTACCTCTGTGTATTGCTGTATCACATTTTCTGGGGAAGGTCCGAAGAACATGTAGAAGTCTAGTATGCCTCCAATAGTTCTGTACGTAAGCATTGGAGCAGAGGTGAAACTATAGTCTGAAAAGACGGGGTGCTACTTGTATTAGATATTATGGTGGTTCAAGCTGTATAGTTAGTGAAATAGAAAGGTTTGTGCAAATTCTGGTAAAGAAATTTACAAACAGCTCTAATCTAGTTTGTTATAAAACTAGAATATTGACGCCTCTCTCTCTCTCTCAACTCATATCTTCAATACCCACCCATAGCGTTACTATTTAGCAGCAGTACCCCATGGGAATTCCCGTCGTTTTCTAAACACGTGTAAAAGGGATGTACCCCATACAAGTTCCCGTAGTCCTATAATAAGACCATGAAACAGACATGTAGTGTTATATGACAAATGATGTTTTACTGTACATGCCGAAACTTAACCACTCGCATTGCCTGAGACGATGATTTATTAATCTAACTCTAACTGAAGCAGCAAGACTGCGTGGAATAGTTTTTATCATTTTCCCAAGACTACAAATGTACACTGGGGATAGAGGCTTAGTATGCTTTTGCAAATTGATAAAAATTATGATCCAAATTGCTGCCAAAGGTCATCATTTTTTGCTTTTCGCTTTTTACTCACTGAAGGGGGCAGTTGGAAGAAGGTCTGGAAAAATCTACTCTTTGTAGAATTGTGAAAATGATGATAAAAATGGATGACCACTCAGAAGATTTGTATAGATTCATTACATTAAAACTCGGCGGCTGGTCCCGTGAAAACATTGGCCACGTCTTGAAGTTCAGGTCGTGTCGGAAAGATTTGTGAGGATTTTCACCGAAGCCGTAGATATTCATTGAGGGTAACTTGGTGGCTATCTGGAGAAACTGATCAGCGAACGTGAAACCGCCCACGCTAGTGTCCCAGCTAAAATGTGATGCATGCTTTATTCATTATATGCATATATTCAGAAAAGTATTAAATAATTAATGTCAATGCGAACAAAGTAAATAAATTATTTAATAAATGAGGGGATAAAAAGATGAACGAATAAACCAGCGAATGAAATAATACCTACATATATATACATGTTAATGTTAAAATTAAGGAACTGGGATATAATTAAATATATTGAATTTTTTTTACGTTTTTCATTCTTGTCTAAAAGCATTCATAGGGCGTATGACGAACATTCACATTCAAGATCAGTTACAATTACAACCTCTTCATGGACACAATAAAAAGATGCTATATATTCCATCACTCACAGGACCGTGTCTGTTCCCCGTCTTAAAATCTGGAAGCTGAACGGGTCCTCAGCGGTAATGACGAACTTGTAGCGGGGTTGACTAGCACGGATGTGGTCTGGGCCACGGTCCAAAGGAACGGGGACTTCATAGCGTTGATCATTTGGGTCGTGAAACTGCATTTAAAGATATGTAAATAATAGAACGCACAGAAAAAAGAACATTAATAAAGAAAGAAAGAAAAAATAAAAATGAAACTTGGAAACAGAGGGAATTAAAATCTTGCCTATGGCTTTTTCGTGCCATTTTTAATCTTATGCGCCTCTGTCGTTTGTTAATGACAAATTACTTTAAGGTGTCCAACGGATTAAACAGAGATAATTTTGAAGGAACATGATCTTCACGCGTACCACCGAGGAATGCTGTTTAACGCTGTATCTCATGTAAACCATGAATATGACTTGGTGATAATAAATTGACAAGGACGCGGCTCTTCCTCTTACAAAATCTGTAGGTACAAGGGGGGGGGCGGGGGGGGGGGGGAACTGTCAAACCGGAAGTACGTTGAATAAGTAGTTTAAGTTTGATATCTGATATTTTTTCGTATCGTGTAAAGACAAGAAGTACACTCAAAGCAACATGTGCTTGAAGCAGTTACATATCTTGGCTTTTATTTCTTTACCCCAAATGCGTTCATAAAATATAGCCCCGATTTTACTTTGTATTATGTGAGCCGTCCGATGCATACTAAAATTGGGGCTTTCAGCAGTGTTATGATCCTTTGTACTTTGTGACTTCCTGATACCTTTTTATTGTGATATCCCACACTTGTTTTAGCATAAACCCGATTAATAAGTGCACCTTATTTCCAGAACTGTGTTTGATCAATGGATGTTTAGTCCATTGTTATTTTTATACTTATGACTTCCCATATCGGTTTTATAATACTTCTGTTTAATTAGGGCACCTGATATCATCAACGAATGTCTAGTTATTGAATTAAGCCCAGGTGCAGAATGGATATTAAAGACTGAACTGAAACTTGGGAAAGACTGGAGATGCGACGGCATAGAGTAGAGAGAGAAATAAAGGTCTGAGGAAAGTTCAGACTCCTGTTGTTACATTCCCTCTCCCATGCCTCAATGACGAGCGATTTTAGGAAGACCCTCGGTGGGAAAAAACATGGACCCCTACAATAGTTCGATTATTTATTTATTTATTTATTTATTTATTTATTTATTAATTTATTTATTTATTTATTTTTAGTGTATACTATGTAAAAGAAACAAAATGTCAGGATTACCTACATACTCAATGCACCGACGTCTTGGTGGTCACCTTGCTATACGTACAAACTCCCCACCTCCTGGCGCTAACCGGCACAACACGTCAGACCAGACACTCTCCTCTTAACTCTGGAAGACCCTTATCACTTGAGTCCAAGTACATGTGAACGAATCCTGTCAAATACATGCACTTTTTCTTTTTGAACATTAGCTAAACTACATTTCTTCAAATTGAACAGTCATAAGTGGTTCGAATGAAAGACACTCCCCTATTAACTCTGCAAGACCCTTATCACTTGAGTCCAAGTACATATGAACGAATCCTGTCAAATACATGCACTTTTTCTTTTTGAACATTAACTAAACTACATTTCTTCAAATTGAACAGTCATAAGTGGTTCGAATGAAAGACCGCAGTGTAAAGGTTTCCGCCCCTCCCTCTCTCTCTCTCTCTCTCTCTCTCTCTCTCTCCCCAACCACCCACACACAGGACCTGAATCCCCCCCCCCGCTTTTTCTTATTGTTTGTAAAATAAATCCAGGTCTGATTCAGGCCTCCTTGCAGACTGAGAGGAAATCTCCAGCTCATCTCATTATCAACATTTTTAAGTTACAGATTTTATAGATGTCTTTTCCTTGGCCTTAAACGAAAACCTGAAATCTATTTAAGAAAATGTCAATAGATGAGAGGGTCCCTCAGGTGAGGCCTGTGTCGTCCCATATCTCTCAGCCAATACCTGTTCACCTTATCAAACCTCGGGTGTCTAATGGGCGTAATAAATGATACCCGAGATAAGCCTGAGTCGGATGATCTGGATCTTACACAAACGTTTTTTCTTCATAAATTGGCGCTCAGATTTAAGGCTGGGTCGGAGAATTAAATTGAACAAATGGAAGTATCAGTGAGAAATTTGCTAATGAGAATATCCGTTGATATTGATTGTTTTTAAGATTTAGACAAACTGATAAAGAACAGTATAGCGCGCTAACAGGCATGGATCTTTTGGGTTTATAGCCGTTATAAAGTATCAAGTATGATATGAACTTCTTAGCCTGAATATTACAGTTCAAAAAGTGATTTGTTTTTGCCTTCATGTTTAGGATATACACGGCAAAATTAACGATCTTACCTTAAAGCGTAGGAAATTATCACCTCTCTCCTCAACAACCAACTCCACTGTAGCCACCGCGTCTTTATAAGGCGGCCTTGCAGGGTTCTTCAGTTCCAGCGTTATTCGCCGTCCAAGCTTCGTATCCTCCTTGTTGCTAACTCTATACCCGCCTTCTCCATTCTTACTAGAAGGTGGAAAATAACAGACAGGAATATCAGCGTTGTTCGTGGGGTCGTGTAGGCAGCCTCGGTTCTGGCACTGCTCCTTGGTGAGGACCTCCTTGGGATCTGGGGAGCAGTCCACCCTAAGATAGTCCGCCTGGGTAGGAGCTCGCACGGGGCTCGTGTCGGGCGGTGACGAGGAGGCGGGGGACTCAGGCGACTTCTTCATGTTCAAAGTCACTGGTACTATCACGGCCACTATCACGATAATTGCCACCACAACAACAGCCAGTATTATACGGTCCACCTTCCTCCTCTGTTTTACTTCTGGAAACGGCTTTGGAGACGCTATCGGTTCCTCCGTCAGTTCTACAGTTTCGTAATGGTTCTCCGGCTTCATTATGGCTGGCAGTTATTTCAGTCTTTTATGCCCTATTTAACAGTTTATAACTGTACAAGCACGAAGTTACCTGACTCACGCCCCCAAGTCTAGCTCGCTGGCTTTGTTGAAGATATATATGTCAGAGTACCATGTAATAAGGTCAGACGTGGTAAGGTAAACAACGAAGGTGATTTAAGACAAGGATAGCACCTGTACTTATTGGTGGGTGTGTGCGTGTGTGCATGAATGTAGGTGCGCGCGAGCGCGTGTGTTGGTATGTGACTAAACTTTTTCTACTTTTGTGTTAGTGCCATGTTAGAATGCTGCTGAAGGTTATTTTTTGGGCATTTTGCGTTTATCTTCGAGAACCCTTAGTTGCCACTACTGCAATGAATGCAGCGATGAAAAGCAGTGATGGAGTGTGTTAAGTGCGCCTCACCATTGTGTCGCAATCACCACCACATCGGGTGGTGAGCAGTGGCATTTCAGAGTTGTAGTAAAATATTACATTTCATGTCTGTGAATGATAAAGAAGTTGGCATTTTCAATGAATATCTGCACATTTAGGCATCAGGTTCTTAATGGCCACTTTACGGAAGGAGACGTTTAGCGCGAATTAACGTTAATTTTTCAATTTTGAGTAGACACTATGCAATACTGCAGCCTGTGTTCAGCTACGTGTATATCATACGGAAGACCAGTCACTGAATAGAAGTTTCAGATCTGGATAGCATTCTACGAATACAAAGTTAAAAAACAGATAAAAAATGATAAATAAATGTAAGGAAAAAATAGATTAATTAATTCATGGATTCATAGATAAATAAACGAATTCCTAATAAATAAAACCAATAAAGCACTGTATTATTTCATCCATATTTATTCCACACTATGCATCTTATTATAAATTTATGCAGAGTTCATGCATGATTAAAACAAAGGACATAGCGACGTGCAAGGAATGATAACAGACTGGACAAACCATTGAACATTTAAACATGGCACACCGAATAACGGGAAAAAGAATACACGAGATCAACTACATTGACAAATCATAAATTTTAGACTGACGCACACCAAAGTCTTGCTTCTGGCAAGCCTGCGCCGATTTGTATCATTAAACGGGCCAAACATTCGTTCGATGCCTCAAACAGTAAAAGTGCTTGGCGCTGTAAGGCTGAGGCCTCCAGGGTAAATTCTTCACTTGTGGGCGCCGGCCATCACAGAGAGATGTGTGTAGCACTTAATTTTATGTAAAAATGCCATATTACTAACCAGATCACGAGCTCTTAGCCCTTGAGTAAATTTGCATTATAAATCACTTGGACTATTGTTTTACAAACACAGATATACTTGAATATTGTCTGGTGATGATATTAGGAAAAATGACCCTTTACAGCTGCGGTCCCATTATCAAAACCCTATGAGCGTTATTTGTTGGGTTAGATTGAAATTGGACCATAACTATACAAGTACATAAAAATCAGTGACGTGTTATAGTTGACAAAAATATGAATAACAACAAGAACAGATAGCTCAATAGTTCCGCAAAGAAATACAGGTTTTTCGCTTTTATGTTAAATAATGAAATAATTCAGCAATTCATGTATAACTTCCATAATATGCACTTTGTTACATATTGATGTAAGCGGCTAATCTGTGCCGGGTCCATCAAATCAATATCTGCTATAGATACTACGTTATCCCATGTCAAATATTGCTGTTATTGGTATCTTTTTCTCACAAACTAAACGATGTAGTTGAGGGCCCGTGAAGTTTCTTTTTCTGAGTAGCCGCCATGACATTTATGCTTCTGTACAGCAGTTAGAGTCACCTCACAGTTAGGTAGCAACTAATTCCGTCTACCAGCATCATAAATTTATGACACAGAACGTGAAAAATATTAAAAACGTCTTTGATCTTTTGTCTCTTGGTTAAATTTGTCTTATTATTGAAAGCATCTGATGATACCACTGGAAGTGTATATAACACAGAGCCAACTATCGTCGCTTTGAGCAAATTGTTCCAAAATAATACTGACGCTGTTTGATGCTAGTCTTTTAAAACGCTATTTGAGCAAGCCCCCTTTGTGGCTCTAAATGCAGAGGGACGCTTGAGTGGCCCCCATCAATATTTCTATAGCTATACTACCATATTATGCTAAGAAGTAAGAGTTGCTTTCTTCATTGTTTATCACAGGTGGCGTACTTAAAACATAGTATTGTAATAAGAATACTGATAAAAAAGTTTGAAAAGTACAAAAATATGGTAGGAAATCTAAATCAATCACTTGATATACCTATGCAGCAGAGCATGGGATGGTCGGTGAAAGTTGAGCAAACTAGTAAAATTACAACCTTATTTTGTTCATGGAATGGACGGAAATGTGTACACATAACTCGTTTATAAGAAAATTAACAAAGCGCTCTAAAATGACAAGTAAGTCTTGAGCTGACAAATAATTCACTTTGCATAATACCTCATTAGTCTGTGATTTGATATGAACCGTTAAGTAGTTCTTTAGAACTTGGAGTTCATGTCACTTGTTTATCTATTAAGTAGGGAATGGCAGCGTTTCACAAAACGCAGCTTGAAATAAAATAATGGAGTGTTAATTAACTGTTACAATATTGTTATCAGTCCCAAACAGGACGTAGTCCGTAGATTGTGCTAACGCAAACCTGTATCACATATGAGAAATCAATTTTGTTCTGTCTACAGTTGGGGACAAACCAAAATCAACTTGACGAGGAAACGAAACATCCTGGCACAGTATCCGAATTTTCTAAAGCGATGTCACATTTAATGAAAATGTAAGTGACTCACAGTCTCGTTTAATTTCAAGGAATGAACGCTTTTGATCACTTAATGGATTTACTCACACGATCCACCACAATACGGACATTTTGTTTAAACAGCCTCTCGTTGCTAAGGTCTATGGGACTTAAACGTACCAAGATTTTGCGCACCTGAGGCGGTGCGCCCTCTGGCGGCCACGGGCAAAACCGCAACATGACAGGAATAACGGTTTTGTGGAGAGTCTCGGCTAGCGTCAGATCTTTAACGCAGTTGTCACTCTGCATATATTTTGGCGTAATACAACACAGCACGACGGAGGCCGCCTTCATATTCCGCTGAATCTGACTTTGCAGCGTCTCTCCAGAGTCTGTCCCGTGGACGCCGCGATTGCTGACCCCGCTGTTGCCTCGCTGGGTGAGCGTCGGGCTGATATCTACCCAGCAAGGGAAGTCGTTGGCCTCCAGGATTCGCCGAATATCCTCCACCCTCGATTGCATGTCCCACTGGAAGCTGATGAAGACTTTGGGTTCTTCGTCGTTACGGACCATCGGTTCAACTGTTCCTAAAATTATACGAAATATTATAGTATGCAGGCAAGGTCAGCTCACGGCTCCTACCTTCCAGTTCAATAGCAGCTAACAAAAGGCAACATTCAGAGGAGGGAACTAACTAGTAGTCCGAGGGTCAAATATGGCCGACCCACTTCAACACTTCCCCACGGGGAATCTATTTAGTGTCTATAAGCGGATTAGACGGCAAGCTTTGAAGTGAGTCGTCATATTTGACCCTCGGTTTAGTTAGTACACTGTTGCATATGCAGCCTTTTAACTGATTTCTGGCTTAACCGAACTATTTCGAACAATAAAATGGCAATTTGTGACTCTTGTTTATTGCCCAACTTTAAGTTCCCTTTAAAATAATCGCACACTTTTTTGAACCCCGCAATTGCCATCATCATCATTATGGTATCAAATATATAGTGTACTTTTATATTCTATTTTGCTTGGAGAGATCTGCGGCATTGTCTGTTATTGTTATGAAAATTATTTGCGTCATTTTGTTTCATTTCCAAAAACCAGAAATCAATTACTCATCACTTTGGTAACAAAAGCACGTTTATCGTAATTGACAACAGCCCTCATGACATTTTGCTTTTTATTATTCCTAGAACAACTATCATATTGCCGCGTGTATGCTCGACTTTTTGATCAAAATAACCGTTATTTTTTCAGGGGTCAATGATGAAAAATCACACAGTCTTAGATTTCATGATTTGCGTCATTTTGCCCAACTTTCTTCTAGATGAAAAATAGGAGTAAGAAATAAAAAATCCCTTCCCACACTCACCAAGACAAAACATCTCTTGATAAAATCGAAAAAGGCTTGCCCATTTTCTACAACTTGGTTATATAACACACGAAATAAAATAAAAATTAAAAACCAGAGCCAAATCAAACGGCACAACATCTTACCATTCATGGTGGCCAGGATGCCGAAAGGTTTCAATCCGTCAGCCATCTTGTTAAGATAGGACTGCTCCAGGACGACCCCGGGGACGCTCCGTATCGGCTTCATGTGGTGCTCCAGGACGTCCATACTCTCAGGGTACATCTTGGTCTCGAAGTCCACGGCAGGGACCTCTCCTGAAACAGGGAGGTATAGAAATTTTCAAATTTGGGCGTTTTCACTTCGATATAATATTAATTTATTTTAATGTTTTTTTTTCGATCTAGTCTATAGAATTGAGAGAGCTAGACCTGCTGTACAAAACGAACCCCGATGTTTGATATGGAGATGTGTTGCAATGACCCCCCTTACAATAAAATAAAATGAGATAAATCATATCAAAGAGCCGATAATCAAAACAGGCAATTCGCAACATAATTTGTCAACAAATCTCTCTTTTTTCTTTTTCTTGCTTTTCTTCTTCCCATGAAAATAAAATCGATAAATCTTGCCCTATCTTCTTCAAACAAAATACACGACAGTTCCCCTTGAGAGGAGAGGTGTACTTGACTTCACGTGTTCACCTTCACCTGGGTGGGCGGTGAGGTGTTGGGAGCAGGGGCGGATCCAGGATTATTTGAGTGTGTGGGGGGGGGGGGGGGTCCGGAACGACAACAAGCATCGGATGCGAAGCCGACCATCGCCCCCTTGGCGCGAGGCTCCGGGGCTGCTTAAGAGTCCCAATTTTTTTGGTGTTTTGGAGGGCAAACTGTGCCCTTTGGTACAGTTTAGAAATATGATTTAGCTAGTCAAAACTCTAATTTCAAAAGGAGAAAATTGGTGTGATATTTTTTTCAGAAACCGAAGGGGGCCCTCTGAATCCGCCAAAGGTTATGAAGACCCGTCGACATCTACTGTGTATGTGTGTGTGTGTGTGTGGTGGGGGGGGGGGGGGTCTTCAAGCATTTTTACTGGTGCCTTAAATACACGGTGTATCACATATGTCCGGGCATAGGCAGGTTCTTTTCTCTGCGCGGCTACGCGCCGTTACTAAGGATCCAACAATAGCAATAATTTTCTTTGATAACGGGACACAAAATCGATTTTACGACCAATTAATGTCCTCTTCTCGCACGATTACTACAAATCTATTACGTGTCACATTGGCTACAAGATAAAACACACGATGAAGGATTGGCAAACGCACCCTAGAATCTACATATCATTTACGTTCTTTAAAACATACTTCTGTACAACGACAAACCCCCACCATAAAAAATCTATTTTTGTGTCGGAACCCCGATGACCTTGTATTCTCAAACGAAAAACAATGTGTATGGCTTATTTTGATCCCTCATAATCGCCTGCTTTGCAAACACTTTGAAGTGGACTGGTCGATACTCTGGCGTGATGCTTACATAGAATCCTTTCTTCCCACACAAAGATCAGAAATGACCACAGATTGCTGCAACTGTGATTTTATCGATCCAAACCTAGATACTGGGCAGTGGGCAATAGCGGCTAATGGTCACTTGATTAAAATTAGTATATCGAAGGATGTCCATTATTCATGTAAAATCTCTTACAAGTGACCTCTGATTAATTTGGTTTTTGAGTGGTGGGGGAAATCCTGTGCTCTTGGTCACCATATTATGGAAATGTGTTGCAAGATTTCCGTCCTTGGTGCTAATCATACAGTACATATACTAGTTTTAATATTTCACCAGGACCGGCTTGAGAAACACCAGCTTAAAATCTCACTAACAGTGCACGTCCTGGCATAAATATTGTTTTTAAATCTCAATAAAACCTCCGATAATGACGATGTCGGCCACAAGACAAAATTCATGCATATAGGACATATATTTTCACCCCTGTTTGTTTGTTTGTCAGTCTGTCATCAACAAAACTCAAAAAGTTATAAACCAATTTTGATGAAATTTTCAGGAACTGTCAGAAGTGGGCCAAGGAAGAGATGATTAGTTTTTGGTGGTGATCTGGATCAATAATCAGTCAATCAATAGTTATCAAAAATTGCTGCCTTGGCGGAGGTCTGCGCTCTCGGGGTGCTTTTCTAGTTTTAATGCTTTACGGACGAATTTTTCATTTGTTTTCGATTCATGGATGTCGAAATGGTTTTCTTTCTTTTTTTTGTGTGTGAAAATAATTATTAATATAGCAAACATACCTAGCACTGCTCGGAGGGCCGGCCTGAGAGAGAACCACGTATTCCTAAACATAGACACTACCAGTTTCTTCCCGAGCCAGTCAGCGAACAGAACCTCGTGGAAGACAAAGGGGGAGTTGGTGGCCGCGTCCGTCATGATGATGAGGGCGTACGTGGCCTGGGCAAGGTGGGGTCCATTTAGTTGGAGGAATTCTTCCTTGGACTGACCCAGCTTCTGGTGGTGTATTACCTAGAAATGAAAATGTATAAAACATTTATTGGGTTTAGATATTATGGTGGGGGAGTCACATTTTGTTCTGTAAAAGAAAAAAAGGACTGGGGTAAATGAAGTAAATACCACGACTAGTCGGTAGAAATGTTAACTTTGCTTTAATTACCTGATATTTTGATATTTAATAGCTCAGATTTAAGTTTTAAAAAGATCTTCCCCATCCACAAGTATCAGGTGTTTAAGAATTCATCATTCATCGGGATATTTCTGCTTAAGTTCACGTTCATCTTTAAAGAGTTTTGTTCCATGAACATTCAAGGTTATTCTGTCATTAATTCGCGGAGTGCAGGTGTACACTAAGTATACGACGAATATGTCAATGTCAATAACTAATTGAAAGAAGTATGAACATTCATTTACATAATTCCCCAGGAACGACATGCAACGGGTCACGTTTTCAATATATGTCATGTAAAAACCCCACTTAAGCTACCTCCGACAAGGGCTGAATCGAGTGTTTCCTCTCATTGGTGCAAAACCCCCTGTCAAGATCACTAAGCGATCCCCCTCTTCAAACGTTTCACTTTCCGTAATAAGCAACACTAAATGCGTTTGTCAACACTGCTCTTTCAGGAAAGTAGCAAGGACAAATGTAAAATCGACACTTGCACTTAGACCGTTCAACGGTAACCGCAAACAGAGTCACAATGAGTGCATTACGAAGGAAAAAGTCCTGTCTTTAGACACGACTCTGCGACTGCTTTTTGTTCCTGTGTTGACATATTGCTCCCGGTCTTCATAAGAATTCATTACTGTTGATTCAGCAAATAGTCTTTGATGGAAGTAGTGCCTCGAATAACCCGGATAATTCTGTTAGCATCGAACGAAGGAATGAGAAAAAGTTCTTTTGAGGCGAGTGAGCCTGAGATGATTTCATAGGGCACATTATGACCAGATTTCACGAGATGAAGTGGATAAGTTTCCAAAACTCAAAAAGCTTCACTGCTGTACTTCTGATGAACATTTTGCCTTTCTTTAATGGTACACTCCATGGATTTGAACATCCCCCAAATGCTTATTTTTGCCATCCACAGCTTCTCATAAAATCTTACATACACCTTAAAACGATTAAACCCCTTAACTATTTTTTTCTGGAGCGTAACTCATGTTGATCGGAGCTTAGGAAGAGGGTCGTTCGTTATACTGACTGGTCAGTCATTTTTAACAAAATCAAGCTATATAAATTTAATAAAAGGTCAAATCCAAGTGCAGAGAGGGTTAGATAACTGATTCGTGAGTACGAGAAAATTGCCTATTTCCTCGGGAAAATCAATTTTGGCTGATTAATCCCATAAAGTTGCCCTTTAATTTTGCATTCCAAAATAATGCCGGCATAAATACCATAATTAAAACTTTAAAAATGGCCATAATCATTTACTAAAAATTTCATTCTCGCTTTGAATCCAAATGCACATATATCTAAAAAAACATATTTTATTTTCACACACATTCATGATTTCTGGCACTGGCCGAGTGGTATTACTTCCCATATCTCGACAATTTACCTAACAGAAGCTTGTTTTGCAGAGAGGTCGTTCCTTCTAAATAATATTTGTCTGGGGCGGTTTTCTTTAAGATCAATAAAAGAAATAAAGGGGCCGTTTTTTTCTGGTGCAAATTTGCTTATGTCAATAACTCGAACAAACTTGACGCAGTACAGAATTAATCAGACGCCCTGAAAATGAAATTCCCGAGGTCAACTTTTCAGCTTCCCTTTTACAGCCACAGAAGATACTCTTATCTGAGATCCATAGTCAATATCTAGAGCATCGGCTTACCTAAATAACACTATCACTGTCCAGTCAAGAGTACATGATAAAAAGTAAATTAAAACCACTTTCAAATCTAGCTTATTATAACAATATATTCCTCAGACAAATCCGCGTCGTTCAATTATCCAAAGCGTCCGTCTGCCAATTAATTATAGTGTTGATTAGCTCTTGAGTGAGTCTGGCGCGAACTGTGAGCAGTCAGAAAGGTGTTTGAGCCCATGATAGCCGGTATTAGGCGTCACGATACAAAACCAATACGTTTCGAGACACTAAGCATTTAAAAGAGAGATAGGGCACATTTACGTCATTTTTATCTTTATATTTTCAGATATGACAACTCAAGGTGCATCTGCCCTGTAATATGTGGAAGAATGTTGGGTACAATATGAAAGTCAATGCCAAAAATACACTTTGGCACGGGGACAAGTTTAAAAGAAATTACTGGCAGACGCAAGTGATTTCTCTTTAAGACAAATGCATCGCCTCTCAACGTAATTTATTTCTGTGCCTACATCTCCCATTTATTTTCCAATTTAGTCAATTCTGTTTCGTTTGAAATAATCAAAAGGTAAAAAAAAGACAAATGTTGCAAAAAGAGACTTAAACCAGGATTAGGAAGTGGGGTGGGGACAAAGTGCGCTGGTGCTATATCTACAATCCATCAAGGAAGAGAAAGATAACATTAATAAGTCTTTTCTTACTGCGTCAAATAAAAAAAGTTAGAGACTACATAGATACAACAGACAACGATAAGTTTTACTAAGAAAGAGAAAAAATAAATAAAATTGATTTTTTCTTTACCTGCATGTTCTTCTTCAGCAGATCTTGCTTGAGATTCTGCGCCAGGCGAACATCCGCCGGGTCGTATACCAGATATACGGTGTTCGGCCGAGAACGCTGCGTCCGTGCTCGTAGATGCCAGTTGTCGCTCAACTTGTGCTCCTTGTCAAGCGTCACCAGAATCTGCTGCATGATCTTCTTCCTGACCACGCGACTGTCTGTTCCCAGTTGTTGTATCATGTCCTGATCCGTCATTGACATTAACAGAAAACCGTCCACTAAATTCTCGGCAAAACTTTGGCGGTAAAACTCCTTAATTCCCAGCGTGAAGAGCCATTCCTGGAGATCACTGGCGCTCCACTGGCAGATCTTTTTCTTTTTGTACTCCCCGGTGAATTCAGCGTCGGGTGCGACCACTGCGACAGGGGGTGCGTTAATGGAGGCGTACCTCTCTAAATCCTCCATAAGGGAGCCTACGACCACAGACGTCTTTTCCGCCAGACTCTTTTTAGAGTGCGGACCCGTCAAGTCCACAATGTTCCCTAAGAGGTGGCTGTACTGTCTGGGTATTTCTGTCTCTTCCAGATTACTGTATAATACAAGGTAGATCCTACATGAGTTATTGTCCATCATTTGGCGTTCGAGAAGAGCCTTCCCCTCGTAGCAGGACACAGGACACAAGAAGAAACTGTCAGAGAGAACTAAAATTGCCGCCCTGCACCTCTCCACGGCTTCCATACGCTGAGAAAACCAAACAGGACTGTCCGTGATGCCTTCGTCCTTGTCAAACCAAATATCTTCCGCGAGATTATTCTCTTTAAGTTGGTTGACAAGTTCTACTACGAATTTCCTCTCAATAAACCCAGCGTCTGGAGAGTACGAAATAAAAATCCCCTTTTTGATCTTTTTCTTGCTCCTACCTTGAGCTTTTTGGGCTGCTGCGGTGGGATTGATTTTTTCTGAAACGACTTTCGCTTCTTTCTTAATTTCTCTCATAAAACTGTTCTCTTTATTTACTCCATTCATGTTTTCCACCTGCGGTTGCTGGGGGTGCTGTCCCTCCATCCCTCGGGACCCGCTCGCAGATTTAGGTTTCTCCGTTATTTCAACGTTTATCACGGCACTCTCCTCCATACCTGATTTTTCTAAGTTTTTCTGATTCTCGATATCTTCCACATTTTTGTTATTGTTTTCTTCGTTCTCGATTAACGCCTCATTTGCTTGTTGCTGGTCGCCATTTTGGGATGTGTCACCTTTTTCATTCGACTTTTGATCCTCTCCGTCTTTATCAACTTCGGCATTGTCAGCTGTCTGTTCCACGTCCTGGCCCTCCTGTTCACCCCCTTCACCGCCCTGCCCACCCTCTGTCACATCATTTGGTTGCTGGTCCGCACCACCCACGTCAACTTCTTGGGACTTCTCTACTTCTTCACCTGGGACGGCTGTCAGGTCTGTTTGGTCCGCGACTGTCGCTCCTTCTGTTTCGCCCGCTTTAACTTCATCTCCTGAACCTTCCTCCGGAGCTTTCTCGGCCCCCTCGGGTTCTTCTTTTGCCTCTGGCTCGCTCATATTTTTAATCTATGGCATGATCTGCATTTCAAACAGAATTAACATCTACGACACCATGTCGCTACTGTACCCAGTGTAATGTGAGTGCATGGTAACCACGTACTCAATAGCGTGCATAATAACCCTATTCAAACACCTTCCGCCATAATAAATGAGCTGTTACTTTTGCCTCCCTCCGCAAATTGTCCCACTAGAGATAACGTAAAAGACAACTTGAGAAAGTCTTTAAAACATTCTTACGCTTGGGGAATACTTTTTATGCTTCGTAACTATATTTGATTCGAAAACCATAGCGATATGAGGGATGGTTATTTGTTTTATTGATTTAAGTGAGAACTTTACTGACCTCTTTTCCCTCCCTCCGCCTGACATTTCCCACAATGCCCAGATGTAAACACGAGGAGCGAAGCCGCATGTAAGAGGTAAGGCACTCACGTTTAAACCAAAGTTTAGCTGGATATTTAGTTAAGTACACCAAGAGAAGTAAAATGGTCGCACTGGTCATCAAAGATACTACAGGTATAGTGTTTTTGAATAAGTTTTTTTGCAAAAGAGTGCGACGCAAGTTGCTTTTTCTTCGATAACCTACTAAACCTATCATTAACTAAATTAACCAAAATGGCGGAGGAATATTATAAACCATTTTCTTTGTCCAAGGACCATCTTAGACGTGATGTCGCTTCTTCATGAAGTGGCTATGTCAAGAATAAACGCGATATTTTAGGCATTTGAATGTTAACTATTTAAAACTTTCTAAACTAATTTATGCAGGCTGGTAACCGGTAGTTTCACTGTACGGGTCAATTGAATATATATGTTTAATTAACTGCTAGCCACCATTATCAGTAACCGTGGCTCACCGTCTACTAGCGATCTCTAAAAGTTTACACTTAAATGCTCAAAAGTGTTGAAATCTGTGAATTTGTGGGATTTGTGTAATATTTCTTCCTACGGGCCTTTGTGTAATGTGTTGTTGAAGGGCAAACGTAATGATACTGTGGAGTATCGATTTTTCTGTGAGATTAGCGGTGACCTTAATATAATAACCCATAATAATGAATTTGATTAAAGATATAAATGGGACGCCATAAATGAAATGTTTTGTAATTTTTTTCGCCAGATGTCACCCATTGCTGTGTGGTTTCAAGTATATAGTTTTATTTACTGATTTTAATGCTAATTTGACTCACAGCATATTAAGTAAATGCACAAAGCGAGGTTAATATTAAGACATTAAACAGCATCAGGAGAAGACTTTGAATCAAAAGCACAGCCTTTTCAGCTTTTTTAAAATAAAAACTTTGAAAGTTTTAAAAGTTACTGGGTGTTATTAATTACAGAAGAATATTTAATTAAACAGTTTCTATATACTCAATTAATTTGAAGTAAATGTGTGTGGTTCATGAAAAATTCCTGGATAGTTTAAGTTTACATTTGACCATAAAGCACACTGTGAGTTGCCCTGCCCCATAGATGACAGTTTGTTCTTTTCAAGTCACATTAAAGTGCATATTATTCATATTCTACATTTACATATCTATTTTTTGCCCATTTGGTTTGAATTGCATTATTTCTTCCCAAGTGGAACAGGAAGACTTAAGTCAACAATCAGTGAAATAATGTATGGAAGAATTTCATTTTAAGTCTTGAATCTCATCTGCTTTCTTTTTTTGTTATTTTCTCAATCATCTTTAAATTTTAATCAAACCTGACTCTGTTCTATCTTTCTAGTTGTGTGTTGTACCACTATGGTAGTACTTTGGATGTTTTTCCCTTTAAAACCAACACACCACATATAGTTTTTAATACCTGTTTATATCATAGGTTAGACTGTGCTAATACTTACTGATGAATTCTGAAGTGGGTTATTAAGGATCACACTTTCTGTATTATTATTATTATTATTAACAGTCCCCAGTCCACTGGTTATAAATATGACCATGTGAACATGTTAAGGTACACGTTAGCAAATGTTCAATATCTTTTTCATTTCCACTGGAGAAAAATTGTGAATTAATTACCAGCTGCATGTAATGAAACAAATATATCTTCAGCAGTGTGGGGCTCGCACATTTATCAAATTGCTATTTCTAGTTAGTCTGTTATGGAAATGCGTTTACCGACAGTTTGCAGGATATCATATGAGAATTGATCAAGTTTGAGGTTGCCGTGGGAACAAGCCAGGTCAGGTGCCTGAGTTAAGGATATGTCTTATGAAGGGGTTTGACAGTGATTACTGGTCTAATATTTTATTTGTTTCTTTGGAGAAAAAAGTGTTTGGTTTTACAGGAAATATTTTAGAAAATATGCTGTTCTGTAATTTTCATTTTCTTTTGTTTTGTTTTTCAAGAAATGAAATCTGTTGTTGAACATCTCATTATTATCACGACTCTCCCTTCCCACCACTGTTTTGTTATTTGGTCTGTTATTTTCATTAATTAAACTTCATCTCTTGCATCTTTCTCTCTATAATGTCAATTACTAGATACCCAGGTTGTTTACCTGAATTGTCTGAAAACCAGTTCCCTCAGTAATCAGACCTCCAGTTGGTCATGATTATGAGTAGTTTGTCTAGTTGATTACGTAATTCTCCTTTTAGTATTGTTTAGTTAGTCTGATAAGGGCTTTCTTGTCTTCTAAATTACCCTAGTTGGTGCTGTGAAATAAGTGAAATATTCAGTAGATGCCCATTAGACCCAGATTTAACAATGTGATAGGATTCCTCATTAAATGTTCACCTTCAGTATAGTACTATAATAGTGCTCTACTTTATATTGTAATTACTTAGGACATTGGGAATATTAGAATTAGAAATGCAAATGTTATACTGGTATATGTTTGATTAAAAAAAGAAAAGGTTTGGATAGCACTGGATGTGAATTGTATAATTTTGATTCACTTATGTGGAAAATAATTGTAAAACAAGATTATTATGTCTGAACACAACTGCTGTTAAGAGAGAAAACTTATTGTGCGGGTTCATTTTAATAATTGAATTAGATGTATGTACAAAATTGGAAAAATACTACCAGTATTATTCACAATGCCGAATATGATGTAGTTTTTCTAACATTTAATGTGTAATTCAATATTTGATATGAAGTGGTGGCAGAGAGAGAGATATACAAACAACACTGATGCGTCACATTGACTAGCTGAGGCTGTTGTTGAAGCTCATAAGATTTGGTGTGGCACTTGTGTCTATGGGACTGTTTACAATGAATGTGGTCAAGTTAGCTAATGTGCACTAACTGTACCGGGACTCTAGGTGAATGCAATCAGATTAACAGACTAACACACCTCCTCATGGCAAAAAATGCCTGTCTCTAGACTTAACAATAATAATAATAATCATAATAATAATTTATTGAGCACAGAAATGTTTTTACATTTAAAGGCTATCTTACTACTAGTACTATCTGGGGTAGCACTAGCACTCGCCAATTTAGCCAAATGCTAAAACTGACTTTAATTGGCTAAAGAAAAAGGGCTTGATTTGACATGTTTTAGCCAAATTATAACCATTTTGGTAACAAATTGACAAAAATGTGGTGATTTGGCTAAGCGAAAAAAATTGCTAGCGCTACCCCAGACTATGTATTATATTTATATATGGGAAAATAGTAATGATAGTAAGACAACATACAAATACTTAAACATTTAGCTATCTTTCCTTTCTAGTTCACAAAATGCTCAAAGTAAGAAGGGCTGACCACATAAGTGCTTTACATCCCTTTTGTTACAATAACAGTAAAATGGATGCCAAATTAAGTACTATTAATTGTGACTAAGTCCAGAAACCTGGCTGAACATAAGTATGTTTTATGTTCCCTTCAATGTGACTAATTGTGTAGCAAGAGTGTCTTTTTATTGCTATTGTTAAGAGTACAAAGATGGTAAGTAAACAAATACTTTCAATGTTATAAGAAAAAACAACCAGAATACTGTTGAGTTATTGTTCAATTGTGCAGGATGATTGAGTTCTGATACAGGCAATTTTATTTCCATCTTTGTACCACTTTAAACCAGTATTATATAACCAGCAGGACTGTCCGTTAAAGTGAAGATTTTTCAACACAAAACTGTCTGTTTGAAGTAGCACTTTCCACATCACGATATACAGTATATTTCTCATAGATAGGACCACCTTAAATGCTGTTGAGAAAAAAATAATTTTAGTACTTTCTCATTAGAATACCAACTCGTTTGTCAGTGCTGAGAAGCGATAACTATTTCTGTGGATGGGCCTGGAGGAATACAAGATGGATCTACTGCCTAGTAACATTTCCGAATACATGTACAAGTCAAAGAGCATGTCAGAAAAACAAAGCCGGGAGAACATACATCAGCAGTTGCCCTTTTCACTGTTTTGATATAATGTTTAAATTGGGATATAAGATATCATCTGGTGTGGCGCTGTATTTGATGTAGGAAAAATGGCAGTTGTATTATACGCTGAAAGGCTATCAATCAAAATGAAAATACATTCTCTGCTGGTGTTGTTTTTGTCTTTTTTGTTAAGTTGGTTAAAATTTTAAGTCAGTAAGTGCATTAGCAGCTGTTTTACCAAAAATGGACTGCTTTCTGGTTTATGGTCAATTTTATGATTTCTGTATTCTGATATTTATGGAAAAGGGTGTGATGTGTAAGCAAAGTTCCAGTTATTTGAGTAAATGATATTTGCATTTTAAGTAACTATTCTTTCTATTTTTGTTTGAAAGGAAGTTTAACATAAGCACAGGATGGCATTGTTCACTATAGAGCAAATCGAGCTCATCCGGCGACTGCGGAACAGCGGGATCTCCAAGGACCAACTTGTGCGGGCGTTTGACTCCATGGAGAGGTTAGACAGGGAACTGGGACCAGCGTACAGCACACCAGCACAGAACAATTTCTCCGCAATATCAAGCCTCTCATCGCCCAGAGTAAACCACAGTTCCCCGCCAGTGGGGATGCCCCCATCGTCACAAAACCAGTCCCAAAATGGCAGCATACCAGTGATGGAGAGAAGTTTCAGTATTCAGAGTCAGGGCTCCCAGGATGGCCCTTTGTCTTTAGTGAATGGAGGAGGAGATATCAAGGACAGCATTAACTTTAAGCTTACTCCATCCAGCCCCATTATCGATGAAATTCCAGATAACAGCGAGGAGCTGTTAGAACTTCTAAGGTAAATAAGACTGCATTTCCAAGCCTAGATCGATCAATCTGGATCGGTCTATCTCCCTGGGGAGTTTCACTAAATTGCTATCAACTTAACTGGCTTAAATGTCTGTCATGCCTACCGAATCAGCTAGTGGGTAAAGATAATTACCCCCTAACAGCTTTACTGTGGGAATGGTCTCTAATATTACACTCATTTTTCCGAGATTTCCTTTTCTTTGTCTATAACCCACATACTTACAAAAATGCTTATTTTCAATACCTTCATAATATTAGTGTTGTAATTATAAACTGAGCAATGTTTTGTTGTAACTTTTGTTTTTTCAGTTTCAGCTGTTTTTTTAGGTATGTTTGCCTCAAGACTACAGTTTTGAGGAAAACGAATATACTGCCCAAATCCTTTGTCTCAGTAGTTTTCTTGTTGTTTTGACTCAAGAGCACTTACAGCTACATTTCCTTTGTAATACTGCTTCCACCCTTTTTAAAGTGCAGCACTCTTACACTTGCAGTAGAGTATCAGTTTGAATTGTGATTTGAAAAAAAAATACATTTACTGTTTTAGAAAATATTTTTTACATCTACAGTAACACCATTACTTTGTGAACAGAGAGAAAAAAACATTGAATTTCCTCCTATCTAATCAAAATGTTGATAAATTAAAACATGGATAACACCAGCAGTATAACTATTGGCATTTTGAAATGGTTGATTAGTCTGTGTACTGTCAAATGTTAGCAGACATTTTGCATCTCATTTCCCTGATTTGCTGAGCACAGAAAGCGTTTGTGTTTGAGCTAATTTTGCTGTCTGCATGACTTTCAAATTATGGCATATCTATAAGTTTTATAAATATAAAACTGAGCAAGAGTGATCGTACTAGTACTCATCTTCGTGTTGTTTTTATCATATAAATCTCTGATTTCACCAAGTACTTTGTGTATATAATATGAAAAATAAATATGATGGCTTCTTGTGTAAACATTTGTAGATCTTAATTATTTATGTTCAGGCCATGAATACATGCCTCCTAATAATTATGTGGAAAGCAGGATGTTAATGATATATTTCTGATTTTTCAGCAAAAGTAAACCATATTGTCAATTTTCTAGCAAGAATATACCAAATATTCATTTTTGTAGCAAAAGTGAACCGTATGTTTTATTTTCTAGCAAAAGTGAATTATGTGTTTTATTTTGTAGCAATAGTGAACCATATGCTTTATTTTCTAGCAGAAGTGAACCATTTGTTTTTTTTTCCAGCAAAAGTGAATTATGTGTTTTATTTTCTAGCAATAGTGAACCAGATGTTTTATTTCCTAGCAGAAACAATCCATATATTTTATTTTCTAGCAAAAGTGAACAATTTGTTTTTTTTTTCTAGCAAAAGTGAACCGTACATCCATGAGGAGATCAAGCAGTTTATCTCTAGACACAATATTAAACAGCATGCGGTGGCCACTATAGCAGGTGAGGAATCACTGGGGTTGGTTTTTTTTCCATAACCTGATGCCCTAAGGACCTTTTCCCATGTCAGGGTACAGGTTTCTCATGCTAGTTGAGATCATCAACTTAAAAGCTTGACTGAAACCAAAGAGACACCAAAATGGATCCTGTACTTGACATGGTCAGTCAACTGGAGTGATTTTGATTTGTTTGAGAGTCTTGCAAACTAACCCCAATTGTTAAATGTTCATTTCCTTAAATGCCATTATTTATTTAAAGATTAAATTCAAGATCATTAATGGAGGCATGTAGCAATGAGTGCCAGACATCACTCAGGATTAGGTGGTCTGTGTTTAGATTTAGGACAATTATAAATATTATTATTTTAAGTCTAAAATTCAGTTATGTTCAGCAGACTTTACAATATGAATATGAATCATGGAGCAATTTTAGACTGGTAAGTCATCCCCCTGACTTCAGCAGCAAATTCAGTCATACATGAAATTTCAATTCAACTGCTTGCAGTTATGCGAAAATTCAACTGCTTGCAATAAACTTGCCCATAAATAATGCTGATTTACCTTCATAATTTGGCAGAAAAAAATGGTTGTCTGTTTGTGTGTTTAGGTCTCAGCCAGGCATATGTGAGCAGGTTTTACAGAGGAGAGACGGGCGAGATGTCCGACAGGAGCAAGAAGGCAATCTACAAGTCATACCTCCAGTTGAAGAAAAACCCAGCTTTAGCCAGTAAGTTTATTTATTTGTTTGTATTTATTTATGGTTTATTTGTCAACAAAAATTCTCAGCAACTGCAATACTATCTTCCTATGAAGAAGGGGTGGGGGATCTCCTTTTTGGCAGTTTTTGTTTCCACTCTTAAATTTGTGTGAAGTGTTGCAGTTTAACTTTTTAAAAAACTTGTATGTAAAGATTGGAACAAATTCAAATGAGTTACATTGAAAACAAAATTGTGCTTGTTTAATTAAGACAAAAAATTACATTAATATATAAAGTTTTATTGAAACATGAAAATATTTTTGGGTTTTTGAATAAGACATTAATAATGTTTCTTTTTGTCTGTACACTGATTCAGCTTAAAATCAACTTAATGAATAAACTATTGAAAATGAGTAAATAATATATGCCAGCCTGTTGTACTTCATGTCTTCTTGTACTTTATTTAAGGTTCTGTTATATGATTAGCTAACAGATGGTCTTCAGTTATAAATATTTTTATCTCTTAATCTGTACCAGCTTAAAATAGGTGGTAACAAGCTTTAGATTGTTGAACTTTTTTACTTTCTAAAGTAGATATATGAAAATATAGACAGTGCTTTCAGTTGGCAGCTTGGTAAAAAGGCACTTCGGAAAGCCTTGTTTTTTGGAAGAAGGGACATACCTGTCCTTCTTGTAGACTCTGAATATAATATAATATAATATAATATCTACTCTCTCATTTTTTCCAGTGCTTGTGCCTCCAGCTTTTGTTCAAAACCGTACCCCAGGGCGACCCCCTTCCCTAGCTGAACCACAAGACTTTTCTTTCTCTGGGCGTCGGGAGAGATTCACGTTTCGCCCTGCTCATCTGGAGATTCTTGAGGGTTACTACCAGCGGGACAGCTACCCCAGCGTGGAGAGAAGAGAAGACATAGCTAATGAGTGCAATAGAGTAGCACCTGTTCATGGTTAGGCCGCATTTTGTGTACTTTTGTGCTCCCAAACTGTGACGTGACTTCATTTATTATCCACACATGATCTTAAGGCTCGTTCCCAGTGAAATTATTATTCCATGTAGGTCAATCCGATTCTGCGGTGACTCTAGCTGAATGGAATCAGAAAAATAGGTCAGCATGCTTTCTCTTGTTTCCATCATACTCATATAATCACCTGCTTTTCTATATTCTACTTAATGCCAGGAGGAGTCACGTTGAAGACTTGGATCATTCTATGTAGAATAAAAGTTTCATTGGGAAAGAGCCTTTGTACACTGCAGATCAACAAATGTCTGATCAGTTAAGGAATGAAATATATTGTAGTACAGATAACATGTTTATAAAATATAAATAAAGATAAAAGAACATGTAAAAAAAAAACACTAGAACATGGCTAAGATTTGATGGTGTTAATTTTGTGTTGTAGACAGATAAATATGTATGCATATTTTAAATTGTGTATGTTGTATATTCACTACAGGAAGAGAAGTTACTCTGCAGAACGTCACCAACTGGTTTGCAAATAAAAGGAAAGAGATGAAAAGACTTGCCATGGAGGGTACGTAACAAGGAGAACATCAACTTTGTTTTCTAAAGCCCCCTTTACCCGGACGGTGTCCTTTCTGCCACAGGTAGTATGGCCCTGTAAAAAATACTTTACGTGCTGACAACTGGCCGATCATTGAGTGATCATTCATTCTGCAACCAAAGCGATTCTTGTCCCTCCTTTCTATAATCACAGCAATGCCAGTTTCATGTTTGCAGGAAGGACGCCGTCCAGTGTAAAAGGGGTTTAAGTGATGACTCTTCTGTGTTCGACCAAATTTCTGAATTGAAATGTTCTGACAGTGAGGTTGATTTTTCTGATAGCTTGGTAATCAATGTATTACTCATATATTATTTGATATCCAAGTATTGTGCAGTTTTAAATGTCTTACAAAGTCACCAAAGTGTTGTATACCAGATCACTGAGGTAAAGGTTGCTGCAAGTTCACTTCAGGCAGTAAGGACATGTTTGACATCCACGCAAACGTCCATTTTTGTCAATTTTATTGCTGATTTGTTTTTTCTATTTTAATTCTAACAACTGATCCTATAAGTGTGTGTATGTGGTAATTTCAGAGGGTCTTGACCTAAACACGCTAGGATTCCGAGGCAAAGGAAGACCCAACATGGCCGTTCTTAGCATGATGAAACAAGATAGTGCCAGGTCACCTGACCAAAACAGTGACCAATCACATGAAAGCAATTCAGAGTCTGGGCCCCAGGACCTGTCGCAGAATGATTCCACTAATGACGCAGAGCAGCTATCGATGGCAGTGGAAATAGCTGCAGTGAACCAAGCCATTTTGTCCCTGTCCGGAAAGGTCCATCAGACAAAACCACCAGTTGTTAAGATGGAGAATGAAGAGACATGAGAAAGGCACTTCTGGCCATGTAAGACATTGAATTAAGTCCCCCCTCCTGTTTCACCCCATGTGGTGGCTGACCATTGTTGCAGTTGTCAGATCAGATACATTGTATCAAAAAGTAGGGTCATGTTTTCAACCTGGTCAATACAAACCAACCTGTTCCAGCCTTCTTTTGAGTTATGTATTGTGTTGGCTCCACCAAAGAACATTTATAAAAGAACACAGACATAAAACAATCTCTAAGAGTTATCCAGTTTTGTATGGTCTGATACAATACCTAACAATTTTTAAACCTAGTTCTTTAAGTAGCAGTTGTTATAAAACCCAACTACTGTATCTCTTGCTTACCAAAGGAGAGAAAAATGGTCATGTTTAACCTTCTAAGTTGTCAGTGGTGGAAAGCTGTCTTCTTTGAGTTGAAATAGGTTGTATATAAATAACTAGAGAAGACGCCCAATAATTCCAAAACTTGCCATGACGTTTTTACATCATGGTCATAGTAGTCGTGGTTGTAGATTTAGTGTGGAAGCAACCAAGTTTGATGTTTTGTATATGGTGTAGCTGTGTAGAAAACAAGGTGCTGCAAAACTTTTGAAACTGGATGTTAGTTTTCGTCAATTTTTTGTTTGACAAATGATATGGTCATTAATAAGACATAGTATTTTCTTTACTTAAGTATTTGTATGGAAGTCTTGTCATATGGTATATCAGATAGATAGTACACAATGTATTAGTGAACACTTAGGTTTCTTTACAGGTGAAGTAAAGTAGTTAAGATGAAGGAGCAATACCAAGAATACAAAATGGGCAGTTGAAGGTGCCTTACACTATAGTTTTACATTAATAGGGATGGGAGTGTGAGGTTGAGTTTTTATTATATCCTTAAAGAAATCTTGCCTTATATTTCACTGAAAATGTGGTAATCTTCAGATATGTTATTCAAGTCAAGTTTCCAGTAAAGATAGAACAGTTCTAAATGTGACCATTCTTTTCATGCTGACTGATATAGGAGGTTTACCAGGGGAAACAAGGATTGTCTCTCTGTTCTGCTACCTTCATACCTGTGGCATGGGGGTATACATATGGGAATAGAGGAAAAACCCTGGATNAAGTTTCCAGTAAAGATAGAACAGTTCTAAATGTGACCATTCTTTTCATGCTGACTGATATAGGAGGTTTACCAGGGGAAACAAGGATTGTCTCTCTGTTCTGCTACCTTCATACCTGTGGCATGGGGGTATACATATGGGAATAGAGGAAAAACCCTGGATAAGCCTCATCACCCCCCCCCCCCCCCAATATTAATCCAGCTTGGGTTGGCATATCTTTAATGTAAACATGACTGAAGCAGCCCATTGTTATAAGAAACCATAAAGGCCCCATTCAGAATAGGGGACTAACTAGTCCGAGGGTCAAATATGGTGACCCTCTACAAAGCTTGCCGTCTAATCTGCTAGTAGACACTAAATAGATATCCCATGGGGAAGTATTCAAGTGGGTCAGTCATATTTGACCATCAGACTAGTTAGTCCCCTATTCTGAATGGGGCCATAGTGTAAAGTTTGGAGAAATATCTGAGAATGTGTGTTATATGTGCAGACTGGAAGGTCTCTGTTATGGTGGAAATCTCATCCAGGAAAGGGAGTTATTATTATTATTATTATGTCCCAGTGGATATTTTGTGCTGTGGAGAAAATATCATTCTTTTATGAGATCTATATTAACTTTTTTCTGCAGACAGTATTTTATTACGGATATAACAACTACCTTTGGGTAAATTTCTCTCCTTAGCAGACATCCTTAGACATAAATGAATGTATAGACCAATTGGAGAACAGTATTTAGCAGTGTAATGATATTGTTGTATATAATAAGTAAAGGTTTGATGTAAGTCTTTTTGTAATTATTTTACAACCAACATATTGCTAATTTAAGTAAAATGACCAGAATGCCAGTTTTTTAAAATCTTCAAATTGTAAGTCTCTGTTATATGTAATAATTTTCAACTTTCAAGGATCGTGTTATGTATCGTGCTGATGATTGGAATAACAGTTGAAAAATGCCGACACTACCTTCCCTCTATCCATGCACTTGCCAAGTGAGCTGAGAGAATATCAGAAAGAGGTTAATAGAGTAAAAGCATAAAGACCCAAAGACAAATTATAATATGTTGTTTACTCCCTAAAGTGGGTCAATATTTTTACTTATACATTTGTGCATGTAACCAGAATTGACATAAAATACTGGTTTTAAAATTACTATGGGCAGGAGTATTTTACTTTACTTACTTTTGTTGGCAGGTTTGCAATGTTAACAACAAGATTTTTGGTATCACAGATTGATTATTCCATCACAGTCTTGGATTCCTTACTTTTATACTCATTTTAGTTCTATGATTATTATCATATATGGTGGGGTACTTTAGTCTGAGCTTGGTCCACCCCCCCATGCCTAGTGTGAATTCCAGGGGAAATACTGTACATAGCTGTGTTGATTTTTTTACACTTTAGTGGACTCAACTGAACCAAAGACCGTAGGCTAGTCAGTATTGCAGATTCCAAGGTGCAATATCATTTTAATGCAATACGTTTAGTGGTCATCAACAATGTCTTTTTTTTTTGTTAACAGTATTGTATTTGGTGTCAATTTTTTTGTTTGCATTGTAGATTTGATGTAGAAGATATACAAGTATTTGAAGAAGAAAGACTTGATGTATATTGCCTTTGTAGTAAAGGTACTTGTATAAAGAAAAATCAGAATAATTGTTAGATTAAAAGATTGTGTCATATTTTTTACTGTAGCAATGTGTAGCTTATCTGCAGTTCCTAGATTAAGTGTCATTTGAAAAAATTATTGGAGCAAATATGTTTGCATTTTCTCAGCTTGTGTTAAATGTGACAACAGAAACTGGTGTAGTGGACATAGATTCAGCCTAACAAGAATATGAAAAAGTTTTTGTTAATTTTTATCAATCAAATTTTTACATCATGAAATTTTTTAATGAGGCTGATTTTATCTGCAACCATTTAACATCGAGTCCAAGGTGAATGGTTTAGATTTAATGTTATTGATGAACCAAAACTTCAAATCTTGATGACACCTGCTGAGTGCGCCTTCTGGTGTACACATACACTGACTGTGTAAATAAATAAATCAATAAATAGCCTGTGTCAAATGACTTTATGGGTGGCTTGTTAAAATTCTTTTGTAATGCCAAATTTTGACTAAGGGACCATTCCCACAGATATTTGGATCTATCTATCTCCCTGGGGAGTCTTATTAAATTGCTAACAACTTAACTGGCTTAAATGTCTTCCACGTCTAGTAAAGCTGTTAGGGGTTAATCATCTTTACCCCCTAGCCGCTTGGGTAGGCATGACGGACATTTAAGCCAGTCAAGTTGATAGCAATTTAGTGAGACTCCCCAGGGAGTTAGATTGATCCAGATGGATCGGTCTAGGCATGGGAACCCAGTCTATGGCCTACCTCTACTCTGTGAACACATTATCAGCAGAGGTAGATGAGTGGTCTGAAACTTGGGGTGGTGTTATTACATGTACAACTTATAGATCTAACTGGACTGGTGTAAGCGTACAGTTTGACATACGTTCACACACACACACACATACACACGCACACTAAAATGATGAAATGAGACACATTTTCTAAGTAGATTAACATTACTATGTTTATTATAGAAGTAATTTTGCAATTTCTATGGCACTTCAGTAGTAAATTTCAGAATGTGATTGTTTCTTTTTAATCCATATTCGGTAATGACCCCGATCTTTTTAATGGGGAAAATGTGAATTTTACGGAAACTATTTTTTCAAATTACATATTGTTAAAATTAGAACATTTCTTTTGAGTTGTAGCTACCTAACAGTTCTATTTTATAGAGAAAAGGACTACAAATACTACACAGAAATATATTTCAATGTTTCTAAAATTATGTATCTCAAAGTTTGATTATTTTTGCCCATTAAAATGATTGAGACATTACTGTTTCTCTGCCAAGAGCCTGAGGGACTTCTTAAAAATACAATTATATAATGTCACTAGAATACAATATAATTATAATTTGACTACTACATGATTATAAGATGTTCCACATTTAGCCCATTTACAAATAGTTACCCTTTGAAAAAACTGGTCTGGTGAGTGATAACTTCCTTTTACCATAGGATTTTTGTATAAATGCGACAAAATTGCAATAGTAATAATATTAAACATTATCAATTTATCACATAACAATGGTGTGTGATTTTAAATACAATTCACACCTTGTACAGTCTTCTACACTCAACACTTAACAGTCTGCAATGTGTTAGTTGAGATCACATACTCAGCGAAAGCCTATCAGGTTTTAAATTGCTTGAAACACATTTTCCTCTTTAACGACTTACATGCATTATTTTAGTAATGGAACACATCCTTTCACAACATTACTGTTGGTTGGACTAGTAGAAAATCATTGGATTATTTTCGGAATTTGAAAAATGATAACAATGTACTTATTAGTTTTTTTGGCATTTACATAAGGATTCTTTCTATCAATGTAAATTTGTGTGCCTTCTTTTCCTCAATTCAAAGGAAACATTTATGCCCCAGTCAATGGGACTTTCATTTGCATTATAAATATTGTCCAGAAGGTTTGAAGGGTGATGATGTGTTATCCTATAATCCTACGGAACTTTGCAAGTTGTGTTAATGTTAGAAACAAGCAAATGGACTTTGCTGTGAAATAGCACTAGACCTATCTGCAAAATCACCCAGCAGCATTGCCATAAAATTTATGCATCGATAGAGCGTGTATAAATTGAAAGATAACACCGCGAAGAGTGTAAAGAAGGGGTCACGTGGTTTGCTCTCTCTTTTTCTTCATTTTCAATTGGTGTTCTATTTTTCTTCGGGATTCGTGACACGAAGGTAATAAAGCAGGTAAAGAATAACAAAGTCCTGGCATTCCTTCAATCCAGTCAAATAGGCTTTATTGTATTCTAGGTGAGAGGTACGAACAAAGTACACAGTCGGAATAAATCTATATGCTATTCGAATGGAATTTCTTTGGCATTATGCCATGGTCACTAATTACAGTCTACAGGTAAACTAATCTGTGTCTAGTCTGAACTATTTTTATATTACCTAAATTAATATAATTGAAGATATCACACTCATGCTTAGAGTCTAATATATTACTTTTCTTTAAACTAATTATTTAAATCATCATGCATATATAAAATCATTATGACAAAGGCACGGCAGTGACTATTTTTTAAAGATCACATTACTTTTAATGAAGGTGTGCCTATTTTAGTCAAGTTTTACAGGTGTGTTTTTGAAAGTATCCTTGTACGGTATAGCGGAACTACTTGTTCTGAACCCACCAAAATGACCCTCACTTTAATAATTGTACAGAATTTCGGTGTAACAATTTCCATTAACGAATTAACTAATCTATGGGCTCCGACATGACTCCAAATTCGACTCAGTCTTTCACTTTACGCGCACAGAGAAGCATAAACGGAAGAACCTCACATCTTTAGATCCAAATCTCAAGTGTTTTTATTATGTACAAGACTCAGATTTTATAAATTACCTACAGGGAATCTATATGCATGCCAGTGGCTGCTATCTTATGAACAAATTTTACATTTATATGAGAATTATTTTATCATATTCAGGTTAGATACCCTCACAACAATAATGTTAATTACTATGATATTAACTTCCCCTAATTTCAAACTTCTAAATTTTATTTAGAAGACGTTATATATAAGATATGTTTTACCAAATATGTGTATCCAATTACAATTATAGCCAAATCATTAATTGCTTTTAAGCATCTTTCACATATCATTTATACAATACTCTGCTTATAACACATCATTAAATTTTGCTTATAACACATCATAATACATTAGTCCACTTATAAAATATCACTATACAATACTCTGGAATGATCTGTAGATCTTTCACGGATTTTGTTTTTCATTCTGTAAGGGCGTCCAGTTCACCCAACCCCTACCATCAAACCTGGCAGGGTAGCCGGATTAGTCGCTGCACTACTCAACTTTTTCTCTACTATGTAATTTTTCTTTT